TGGAGAGAGTCAGCAGCTCGTCAAAGAAGGAGCACGGTCATGCGTTTTGCCGAACAAGCTTGGTCCATCATCTTTTACGTCTCGACACTGTCTTTTGGTCTGTATCTCGCATATCACGAGCCCTTCTGGATGAGGACAGCTGGGCTGTGGGAAGATTGGCCTATCAGGCACCTCGACCGGCTCACCAAATTTTACTACTTGACAGAGTGGGCTTTCTGGATTCAGCAAATTCTAGTCCTTCACGTTGAAGCGCGAAGAAATGATCACGTCCAGATGCTGTGCCACCACATCATCACCATCCTGCTCATCACTGGCTCCTACTGCAGTCACTTTACCCGAATCGGAAACGCCATCTTGGTCCTGATGGACCCCAGCGACATCTTGCTATCCTTCGCAAAGTGTCTGAGGTACATGGGCCTCATGACGGCTTGCGACATCGGCTTTGGAGCATTCATGCTATCGTGGGTAATCACTAGACAGATACTGTATCCCATCGTGGTCTACTCTTGCTTCAACAGCCCGCAGCGCTTGGCGGCGCCCATCAGGCCCGATTGGTCCTTTGGAGAGAACGCTCCATTCGGCTGGAAAGACCCGGTACGATTAGGCCTCGTCACGCTGCTTTGCTTGTTGCAAGTCCTGCTCTTCATCTGGTTCACCATGATCGTCCGAGTGGCCTATCGCGTCTTGGCAGGGTACGGAGCTGCAGATTCTCGGAGTGACGTGGAGGAGGAGGAGGAAGAGGCTGTAGGCAAGTCGATAGAGGCATCGCGCGAGCCCACGTTAAAGTGTCACGCCGTCAAGGGATCTGTCGACGTAGGTGACGAAGGGGCGACCGTAGCCGGCGTATCAAAACCAAACATTTCGTGAGTTTTTGCGAGCCTGGCGATCACTGCAGAGACTCTTTTTAAGTCCCCCTCGCGCAATCCTTGCCGCCCCTCAGAGCTTCCAACTCCCCCAATGCGACATCTTCCGCTTCTCGGCGCCGAACCAAAGCGCGGTAATCGATGCACGAGGCGCTGCCACGGCATTCATACGGGCATGCTTGTAAGGCTATAATACATTTGATTCTGCGAGTGCCGCGTGTCTCTGTGAAGACCAAGTCGGTGCGCCAGAGGATCCTTGACTACAAACGCGGTACGTCATCCGCGACCAGGGCCAGACAACGGGCATCAGCATCTCTCCATTGGTAGGCCACCCATGCCCAATCCGCTTGTGATGATGTGGTCACCTCTGACGGCGCGCAAAGCTTCGACGATACGTGGCTCCAGACGCGACACTGGCCATGCTGCGCCGGTGTCTTTCTGCAACTGTGCGTCCCATCCCGAAGACAATGTGCGAGTGTGATAAGGAGCTAGCGCTCCTTTAAAGTGCCGAAGATAGCGTTTGCTTGTTGCTTTCCCTTTGCGCTGTTGTGGCGGCGTTGTTGAGTCACCCTGTCGAGCCACAGTCTTTGCGTCTGGTGCCGCTTTGGATGCGCTTATATGCCCTGATTGGAGCCGTGATCGAGTTTTGGCTGCTGCTCGAGAGCGTGTTTCCATTCGGTGCGCCTTTATCTCTGTGCACTTGTCGCTTTCGTGCGTGCCTTGCCCCGACCTCTTCCGGCGTCGTCGCTTGGCGCCAGTCGTGTTGCTGGTAGTTTTGACAAGCACGGGATTGCTCTTGTCGCCCACTCCTTCCCTCGAGGCATCAGCGCGTTCTTGCTTCTCCTGAGCTAGCCATCGAGTTTGAGCACTGCGGCGTCTTTGACGTTGACCTAGTCTAATGGGCTTTTGCGGTATCTCGGACGTCATTTTGATTTCGAGCTTGAAATCGAACGCGCTGCTCAGAGCGCTCCACAGAACGGCTCGAGAACGGCGAGCCGTGAGGCTGGCTGAGCTTGATGCCGCGCAGGACTACGTCTATATCGTTTGCGAACGAAAATGGCCAGGGGGAGTGGGGGATATCGAATGGATATTCGCCATTTACACAGCTTATACAGCCAACCTTGAGCTAGCTACTCCTTGCATTCGTGATTTCAGACTATCAGTAGACTCTTCACGACCAGATGGAGCAGCAATTTGAATGCGGATGCTCCACGGTGAAAGTGATGAGCGTCTTGCGCCACAACTGCAGCAAGGGTCTTTCGTCTCTTGAACTTCGCCAAGTAATGCTAAAGCTCCGCGCGTTCATCCAATGAGTCCATGGTTCACGCTTGAGGATTCTCGTGCTCTTGAGACTTTACCGCGCAAAGGTGACGTGTATGCATTCAAGATTCACTGCTTTTCCGTGAACATGCCAAACAAGGATCGTAATTCACGATTGTTCATGAATCAAAATCAAGAGTCAAAAGTGAGAGTCAAGAGTATTGAGTCTGAAGAGTGTGCCTGCCGCGCACAGAAGTCGCGCGTTTGATTGGCTGCTGACGCGACCACGTGATCTACCCGGCTGACGAACAGCTCATCCATGCAAAGCCTGGGCGGACGAGCAAGACGGGGGGCTGGTGCGCTGGTGCGGCGCGTGGCGTTGGGCAGCAAGCGCTGCTCGGTGGGCCTCTCTGACCCTGATGACCACAAGAGCGGATTCGAGCACCTGTAGATTCGCATTCGCGTCCACCATCGACCACGATCGCCATCCGCTCCCCGCATTTGCACTTTCGGACCTCACACACCGTGAACACATCATGGTCGCCCCTCGCAATATGATCTCTGTAGGGCGTTCAGGTGAGCACGTCTTGCGAACCTCGTGCGCGCGGATGACCTTATAGACCTTGACTAACTCCAATCCTCGCATTACAGCTCTCCGTGCGCCCCTTGCCCCAGCAGCACGAGGCCTGCGCACTGCAGTTCCAGCGCCAGTGGCGACAGTTTCCAGCCGATCTCAAGAGAAGTCTCCTGCCAAGTCTTCTCCTCAGCTGCCCAGCCTCGGTCGTTCATTCGCCACATCGAGCTGCGCCAAGGTGTACCAACCCGATCCTCAAGCCATGACGACTGTGGGCAACCAAGGCTCGAACCAGCTCTCGATCGAAACGCCTCGCAACAATGTCGAGTACGTCACCACTACTCTGGACAAGATGGTCAATTGGGCTAGACAGGGCTCCATGTGGCCCATGACATTTGGTCTGGCTTGCTGCGCTGTGGAGATGATGCACGTCGCCACTGCTCGTTACGATCAGGATCGTCTCGGTGTAGTGTTCCGCGCCAGTCCTCGTCAGTCCGACGTCATGATCGTTGCCGGCACTCTCACCAACAAGATGTGAGTACAGGACGCGGTTAGCAATGGTAAACATGTGCACGTGAGAATTGTACACGTCATGTTACCGGCGCTCTGATTAGCGCATGCAACTCGCATACCATCTCTCGCAAGTCTCTTGCTGATCTTTCAAAACCTGACATTGTCACCCTAGGGCGCCCGCTTTGCGCAAAGTGTACGATCAGTGAGTTTGGGCAGGCGAGCTGGCGCAGTGCGATATCAGCCGCTGATATGCGAGCTTTTTCCCCAATGATCCTTTCAGGATGCCCGAGCCTCGATGGGTCATCAGCATGGGAAGCTGCGCAAACGGAGGTGGCTACTACCACTACTCCTACAGTGTGGTTAGAGGCTGCGATCGCATTGTTCCCGTGGATCTCTACGTGGTGCGTGATAGGTCGCGAAGCTGTTGGGATTGATCAGATTCGAGCGCTGACTGTGCCCTGCTCCTTTCACTCGCTCAGCCTGGCTGCCCTCCTACCGCCGAGGCGTTGTTGCACTCTTTCCTGGTGCTCATGAGAAAGATGAGAAGGGGACGCAAGGTTACGCGATGGTACCGTTCCCTCTAAGCCGCGCGTTGTTTGGATCAGTCCTCGACGCGCATAATACACCTGTATTCTCTCATTTCTGCTCTCAAAGTGAGGGAGTAACCCTTCTGCACTTTTCGCGATCATTGGCGCATCAGATCGTCAACAGTGCAGCAGTGTCCAAATTGCCGAGGATACGTGGTATCAAAAGGAAGGAAAACGAGAGCAGGAAACGGAGGCAAACAAGCGTGGACGCGGCGCTGTGCAGTTGTTGAGGTGTGGCATCTACGGCATTGACGAGTCGTCGTTTACTGGGGCGAAGGCTGCGCGGTCTAAAACAGCGTTCCAGTGATTGGTTGTTGCTGAGATTGTCCTTGCTGTGGACTCTGTGCCTGCTGCCCGTTTTGCTGGTTGAGATTCATTAAAGTAGCGTTGCCAAAGGCAGAGGTAGGCTGGAACGGCTTCACGTTCGAGCCCGCAAAACCAGTGGGCTGTGGGGCCAAGGCCGCATTCGAGCCAAACGATGTGGTATTTGCTGATGGAGCAGACGCTTGAAACGGTGCAGATGAGGGTGTGGAGGTTGAGCCAAAGAGACTTGCACCGAAACCTGTCGGCTGCGTAGGAAGGTAGGAGGGATTAGTGGGCGGCAAACTCAAGCCAGCAGGATTAAGTCCAAAGTTGGAGGCGGCCGGAGTCCCTGAAGAGGCGCTGGCTGCAGAAGCAAATGAGGGAAAGTCTTCGTTGCTCTGCGCCTGCGGGGCTGTAGCTGGTTGACTAGGTTGTTGCGTGGAAGTGCTGTAAGCGAAGGGATTGCCCGTCATGTTGGGTGGCAAGCCCGACGTCGGAGCTGGAGAAAGAGACGGTGAGGGGGCAAACGAGGACGATGCGGCTAGCGAAGCTCCGAAAGAAGAAGTTGGCTGGAATGGCTTGATACTACACGGTCAAGCGAATGACTTCCAGAAGTCAGTATGTATTGTCTGATACTTGTATGCCTCGTATACCTGGCACTAGAACTCACTTTGAGCCGGCAAAACCAGTCTTTTGGGGCGCAAGCGGTGAAGGCGGGGCAAAGCCGTTGCTGCCGTTGACTGACATCGCTGCAAAGGGAGAAGCCAACGATGCACCAGCTCCTTGTTGCCCGGTCAAAGATGCAGCATTAAGGCTGGGAGACGTTGCAGCAGGCGCGCTGGATGGTTGCGTTGTCGGGGCAGGGCTAGCCGCATTCCCTCTGCCCGACGCGAATTCAGACGCTACAGAGCTGATAAGGCCGGTCTTCATGGGGACTACAGCTTGGGTTTGCGATTGCGAACCTGGTCCGGTCTGGAGCTGCGAAGCTCCATTCGCACCGGCATTCTGCGGTTGAATTTGCTGTTGCGCAGTAGGGTTCCAGGCGCCGTGACCTAGCCCGTACACGCCCCCGCCTTGTTGCGGGGGACCAAAAGCACCCATTGCAAGCTGCTGCAAGGTGGGTCCTTTGTTGGTCGGAGGCGGAGAAGGGGGAGGAGTTGAGCCAGGAGGAGGTTTGAAAGGATTGTTCGAGCCGGTCTTTTGAGGTAAGAGCTTCGCTGGAGCGCCCAGAGACTGGCCCGCTGCAACATTCGAAGCCGGCGGAGCTGCTGATGTAGAAGCGAACGCGTTGTTCGAGCCGAAAGCAGATGACGCTGTCTGCTCCTGTGGTGGTAGTCCAGACAGGTCAGGCGCTGAGGAATGCTGAGGTGTCTGCTGCTGCTGCTGTTGCTGAGGCGGCTGAGAGAACGCTTGACCGCCGAAAGGCGAGCCCATTCCCGTTGGCTGCGGGCCCATCATCATGCTCTGGCGGAAAGGATTCATCCCAGTCATCTGCGGCTGCAGCATCCCGGTGGGGTGTGCTCCAAGGAAGCCACCAGGTGCAAAGCCGGTGATCTGAGGTTGAAGCCCCCCCATACCACCTTGTTGGAACTGCTGACCGGGAAAAGACTGCTGCTGCTGCTGCTGTTGGAAGAAAGGGTTGAAGCCCGTCATCTGCGGTTGCATGGAACCACCGCCAAATCCGCCTGCGCCCAATGGGAACCCAGTCATTTGGGGTGCTAGACCTTGCTGCTGCTGTGGGAAGCCAAATTGTGAGGTACTCGGTCCACTGGGGCCAAAGATAGACTGCTGCTCGCTCTCAATAGACTCGAAGAAGTCTTGCAGCGCTTGGTTGCCAGTGGGTGGCTTGACCTCCGTTGCAGCAGGTGAGGACGGCTTGTCTTTCTCCTTCTCTGCCGCTGTCGGCTCTTTGAAAGTGACTGAGGCGAAGGCAACAAGTCAGTGCAAGCAAAGGGTCACGTGTCAGCTTGTGCGAAAATAGGTCGTGACCTCTCAGCCCTGTGCTCACTGCTTTTTTTGCTTTCGCTCGCTGGTACTTTGCTCTCGGGCTTGGGGGGCAAGCCGTTTGCCGCCCTTCGATTGGCAGCGTACTCTTTTCTATTCTGCTCAAAATTTGGATCCTTCAAGTATTCCTCAAGGGCCCCGGCCAGGCTCGTAGGGGCATGCTTGAGGTTCGGTATTGCGACATTGAGGGAGTAAGCAGCTTTGCGAGCAGCCTGCAAGTATGCAACAACTTTTTCTGTGTGGCGTGTGAACCTTTTGTAGATCTCCAACGCCCTCTCTGCATCAGGTTTGGACATCTCGAAGTAGTGCTCCAAGATGTTGATCATACCCTCGTTGATGGCTGTGTACAGCGCGAACAGGTCTTTAAGCGCCATGCGAAGCGCCGTGATGGACATGTCATCGTTCAGATCGTCAAAGAAGAACTGTGGGAGCAGTGTGATGGAGCAAGCAGCTAGTCATCAGCCACAGGTCTTGATAGAGATGCGCGCGAAGAGGCTCACCGAGCAGTCAAGGAGCCTGGAGCAGACCTTCTGAGCATTTGAAACTTCTCGCAGCAAGCCCCTGTCTACCGTCAGTCTTCTGAGCCTGTGTCCGCCTCCACCTCCGTCTCCCCCATTTGTCCTGGCAGCATCAGACGAGCGGATCACGTCGTGATGCATCTCTCGATAGTAGCTGACGCGGCTATCCAGGTAAAGCGAGTAGGACGGCAATGATCGAGGGGCGTCATAGCCTGCCCGCAGGATCAGAAGAGAGAGGAGATGCAAAGCTGCGTCAGTACATTTGCGAACAAGCAACCACACCAGAGCGATGCAAAGGCGCACCTTGCCAATTGCCCCCTGCTGCCACGTTCTTCAGTTTCAAGCTGCCATTCTCGCTTGACACATGCCGCAAGACGTTGTCGACACCACCGTTCCTGATAAGTGTGTGCAAAACCAACAGCGCCTTGAATACGACCTAAATGTATGCGCGCGTACAACGGTGGTCAGCATCTCACTTGGCCTACGAGCATCGGACAAGCTGCACTCACGATACTGCTAGGTTCACGCAGCCTCAAGGCCAGACTACGAGTAATGTCTTGCAGGCTGCCATCCGAGGAGAAAGAAGAGGCGATGATGGGGTCCATGTGCTTTGGCTTCGGCGCGCCAGCCTTCGACTTCGTGGCCGCCTTGACCACCTTGTCGTAGGATGACATTGCTTACCACCTTTGTCTCCGGTCGCTCACAGGGGGGGAGATTGAAAGAAGGATGAGAGCCCTCCCGAATGATCTGGCCTTGCGAGACCTGCAGCTCGTGATTCGTGATTCCAGAATCGTGCTCGTTGTGAGAAGGTCGGTGACCAAGCGAGACGATAAGGTGCTGTTGGTGGGAGGAGAAGCTGTATGAAAGGGCGAACGTGTTGACGATAAGGAAGCGCAGCCACGCTGACTTCTGGAGGCGGTGATGGTCTGGCAGGAGGACGGGAGCATTGACGTAGTCGAGAGTGCATGTACGTGTAGGTATGGGTATCCGGACCTGCCTCCGAGAATATAGCGGTGTCGGTCCCTCTCGCACCATTTCGGTTCTAGCCCCACGACAGCTGCCGCGTGCCTGCACCAGCGCATCTTCTCCACGGCCAGGATGGGTCGGCAAACGTCATCACCACGGCATGCATGCATTTGGGCCCAACGATCACGTGAGTAGTCTGGGTACACAGCCGCGGAGACAGTCAACTCAAACTTTGATCAACCGAGGGCAAACGGGCGTATTGCAGGGCAAGTTGACTGTGAGGAGTCGTGAGTGCTTGTGTGCACGTACGTCGCAAGCCGCGCCGCTGCTGGGCGGAGGTGGCGCGTTCACTTTTGCTGATGCTTGCGCCCACGGAACGAATCGAGGACACTCTCACGTCCGTATCCCTCTTCCTACATCCATCCATCGAGTGCTCAGCTTCATTGAATCACTATTACGTTCTGCGCAAGCCGGTCGCCAACCTTGCTAGCACTGCATCGCAAGTAAAGCTGCGAGACCGCGTTCCGGACATCTCTCCGGATACTCACGCGCCATCAATTGCGTCAAGCTTGACATCCTGAGTTCCTACCAGACCGAACCGATTATGTCGTACGCTCAAGCACCGCCGTCGTATGCAGCTGCCAACAGCAAGAATGGCTACCAACCCATTCCGCAGGATGACGTCGAGGCTCACGCAGAGTCCAGCGTCCCCGGACGCACCGCCAACGCGCAGTCCCCCCTGCTTGGGCCCGATGGCATGCCACTTCCTCGCTCTGAGGGAGACACTGATCCTGACGACTTCAAATTCGGTGTGAGTGGCTCATACTGGCTAGCTTTGCCCGGCACAAAGCTGACTCTCGTCCATACTGCCACCGATTCCAGGTGACTGTGGAGCAAAGCTCCCCCGAGGTCCGTCAGATGTTCCTCAAGAAAGTGTATGCCACACTTTTCATTCAAGTGGTATTCACCACAGCTATCGGAGCTGTTCTGCGCATGGACTCGATTCGATCTTGGATCTTCCAACACAGCTGGATCATCATGCTCACTTCCATCTCAAGCTTGGTCACCATGCTCGTGCTTTACGTCAAGCGCCACTCTCATCCGACCAACGTCATTTTGCTTGCTGCTTTCACTGCTCTTGAAGCTGTCTCGATTGGAAGCGCTATTGCGTATGTCAATGAGGTGAGTCTTAGATGCGGTGCGAGTTTCCGCTTACATGTGGCCGCTCTGACCGAGCAAGCTCGGATCCTAGGTGGTCGTACTTCAAGCACTGCTCATCACAGGCTTCGTGTTCATCGCACTCAATCGTGAGTTTGTTTACATCACTTCATTCGCGCTCGCGCCACCTAAACCAACATGCAAACTCCTTTGACCGCATTACAACAGTTGCGGTATACATTTGGCCCTCGGTAGACTATTCCCAGCTTGGACCTTGGCTGTTCTATGGTCTGTTCATCTTTTTGGGCATCGGTCTGGTGCAGCTCTTCGTCCCCTTTTCTCGCGGTGTAGACATCGCAATTGCAGCTGGAGGCGTGAGTCTTGAAGCGCACACGGCAGACTGGCCGCAGTGACATGTCTGACACAATGTTTGACTTGTTTACAGGCCGTTCTGTTCTCGCTTTACACACTCTATGATGTGGATGCGATCTCGAAGAGGCTCTCTTGCGAAGAATGGTGCTATGCCAACGTCATGCTCTTCCTCGACCTGCTCAATCTCTTCTTGTCCATTCTTCGCATCCTGAACGGAGCCTCCAATGACGACTAGTCGGTCATGTGCTGCGTTCCAATGTGCTGGGCGCCATGACGATGCGCCATGACGACTCGGCACGATGTCTGCAGCATTCATCCCGCAAGATGCTCGCAGCTCTCACCCACCATCTCAAACGGCCGGCCATACTTGGCAACCCTAAATTCAATGCCCGCGAACGACCAAGAACCTCTCACGACCTCACCTGTATATCCCTCGAGCAGTCACCTACCCATCTGTAAGAAACCCCCGCCTCGATTGATACGTTCTAACCATACCACCCAAGAGCTTGGTGTTTTAGCGACTTCCTGAGTTGGAGAGATCGCTGTTGCGTCGCACTTGGATTGATTTCACGCTCGTGACTGCCTTGTCGCAGCCAGGGACGTGCTGCACGCAGAACGGGCTCGGACTTCCAGCGCGTCAGGTTGTGATTGATGGTCAAGGGTTCCTCCTCATCCTCTGAAATGCTGCTCTGCCCCGGGCCGAAGCTTGATAAAAGGGGCGGACGTCGCATACTTATCAAAAGATGACTCGTGTATCCGTCGAGTCCCAACGCTGTACGATCTCTCGCTAAGCAAAAACACGCCTCTGGAAGATACTGGACAGAGCACGCTTTGATTGCATGCCCTAAAGGCCGTCATGATCTACATGGTTCTACATTCCTTCGGATGGGATGTGTCGCCTAGACGCCCTGGCTGAGCAGGGCGTTGAGTCGCTGAACGCGGCTGGAGACAGAGAGGTCCACGGATCGGTCTCCAAAGTCGACCTGCAAACCGCCTTGGATTCCGGGAGAGACCTTTTGAACGATCTTGACGCTCTTTCCAGCGGAAGCTGCTTGGCTACCCTTAAGAGCGCTCTCGAGACGGGAAGCGGTGGACTTGTCCAGGGGCTGCGAGAAAGGGGTACGGGACCTGAACTCAGCTAGGAGGTCCAAGAATAGGGCGCCTGGTATGCGTGCACTGAAGCAACCCCTCGGCCAAGCCACAGTCTGCACACTGTTACCTCTCGGGCTGAACATTTCCTGCTACTTTACTCACAGCGGCGCTTGTAACGGTGATGACAACCTCCCCACGGTGCGCGCTCATGAGTTCGAGGAAACCTTCGATGACCTTTTCCGTGTCTGGCAGGCGTCCGTTCTCAGCAAGCACTTCGAAGAGGTTGCTGTATGTAAAGGCGATCACGCGAGGAGATTGATGTGTGAGCGAAGTAGCGTGGATGATCAGACCATCAAAGAACCCCTCTGCGATACGTCTATGAGTACGCCTGTTGCAGCCCTCTGACAAGCCTTCAATGACCATCCAATCGCCCTTGTCGCCGCCATTACAAACACGTCCGGGCGATGCTCACCGGGTGATAGCGTTCTCCTGTCCACCAAGCAAGGAGTCGAGACCCTGGCTGCGCTCCTTGACGCCCAGAGTAGGATTGTTGATGAAGTCTCTAAGCTTGACTCCCTGAGATCCGGTCAAGGAAGTTTGAACGCTGCGCAGGTCCTTCTCGACGGCATCGAGAGTCTTGCTGTCCTTGTTGGCGGCAGCTTGGTAGGCCGAGGTCGCGTACTTGCCTGTGCATCATCAACAAAGGGAAACCAAAAGACGATTAAGCATTCATGCTGCTGAGAATGCAGTCCCGGCAGCCCTTTGCTCACCTGGCAGGCCGTTGAGTTGCAGGGGTGCCTTGACGCTGGCGGGGGCGGCATAGCCGCGAACCGACTGCGATAGGAGGACGGGAGGTAAATAGCAGCGTAAGCCTACGAGTCTGGGTCCACTTCTAGCCAATTTGGGTTGGTATAGGGATGCGCACCTGGTTGAGAATGCGAGAAGAAAAGCGAGCGGCGGCCATATTGTCTAAAGTGTGGCTGATGGACAATGCTGGTAGTCTGACCGATTGCCGCGAATGTTGTCGCGAAGATGTGGTCACGCTTGCTGTCTAGCTGTGACGAAGCAGCACAGCAGGTGGTGCGGGATCGTGCGGCGATGGGATGGGCACGGGCGCGGCGCGCGTTCGCGCGCTCTGACCGGCGCTGGCCGACTGCACAGGTGGTGGCCATCCCACCCATCGGCCACGTGGCTTCCAGCCCTCCGCAAATCTGATGTTATCAGACGCGTACAGATGCAAGTCCCCCCGCGTCTGGTCGTGAGTAGTGGGTCACATTCATCCTTTGAACCGGCCAACTCGAGACCAGGCACTTCACTCTTCGCTTCTTGAGAATCAAGAGATTGACTTTTCTCTACTTTGCCAACTTCGGACATGGTCGGATACAGCCGCGCAACGCTGTGTCAGATTGTCGACGCAGATCGACGCCGCCTCGCACTGCTTCTCTAGGCCGTCAGCTTGAGGATGTCACAAGCCAAAATCACAGCATAGCAAAACGTCTTTGTCTGAACGCCCTCTCGGCTGCCATCTTGGTACGTTTGCCAGATGCACCAAGGTACTATATGGCCAATGGCAGATGCAGTACGCTTTCCCCACGCAAAAATCGCAATCAATCACATCTCTGGATTCGTTCGGAATGGTGACAGACAGGTACGCGAATTCGCATGCTTCCTAACTCATTGGGACGTTGAGGTGCGAGTGGGGACGCTTTCTCTTGGAATCTACTGCTGCTTGCTACGGATCAAGAGGTAGTGAGAAGAAAGCCGATGGCGTGATCTCAAGTCAGAAGTGCAAGGAGCGCATGACGACTTGAATCGACTCACCACTCTTGTGGGTCCTGTGAGCCGGCCATTTGTGAGCCTGCGCTCGCGCCGAGCTGAGTGCGACGAGCAGGAGGCTCGTCCTCGTCTTCGTCATCCTGCGGTTTGTGCCAGGTGGAGCAGGCGGCGTGCCCGATTGGCATTGAATGCGCATGGAAAGTTTCATGTGATGGTATTGATTGCGAGCGAGAGGGAAGGCGAAAAGGGGCACGGAGAAAGGACAGGCGAAGCTCGTGTGAGCAGCCGAGTCGGTTCGACAGCCAGCGCCCAATGTTTCGACAACATAGCCCAAGTCTTTCTGCATTTGAGGGAAACCTTCTGACGTCTCCACAATCACTCATCGCTACCCACATCATCCTCATCGTCCTCGTCAAATTCTTCGTCGTCAAGCAGATCGTCCTCGTAAGCCAAGGCTTTGCCAGTCTGTGAGCGTCACACCAAAATGGTCAGCAAGGGGCAACGACCAGCTCAGCCAATGCAGCTGAAGACTCACGAAGAAGTCAACGGCGTGAGGAATGATCCTCTGCAGCAGAGAACAGGCGCACCGATCAGATTGACATTCGCGCTGAGTTTGAGGAAGCCTCCGATCAGAGGGTGTGCACTCACGTCCTTGAGGTCTTCTCCGACTTGGTAGTCAAGCTCCAGGCGCTCATCGAGTCTTACAAGACGTTGCGCGAGAGCTCTGTCAGTATCGAAAGCATCGCACCACCTTGACGTAATTGTAACTCACTCGTCAAAGTCAGCTTCCTCGTCCGCATCGTCATCCTTGGGCGGCTTGGGTGGAGAGAAGAAGTTGAAGAAGGACTCGACAGGTACAGAACGTTTGACAGTACGAGTCTGGTTTGTGTTTTTGTTTCGTTGCTTCTTGGTCTCGATCTTGTGAGTCAGATCCTTGTCTTCCTTCCACTCAATCTTGTCTCCCTCTGCGTGGTCGTAAACGAGATCGCCGCTGTATCCGACCTCATCTTGGTAGTAGTAAGTTTTCGTAAGAAGAGTGTTCGTGAAGAACTCGTTGCTACCAAAGTGAAACTGGAGCTTGAACCCAGCTTGAGTGCCCGGAAGGTACGACATGCGAATGTCACTGAGCGCCTTGAGGGCATCCTCGTCGCGCTCGGTGATGAGCTCCGACAGGGCAACGTGGTTCTTGAGGGCTGTGAGCCAGAATTCGGGGATACCCTTCTCACTGTTGGCGGGAGCCTGAGCATCGGCCAGGCTTGCCTTGGGCTCCTTGGGCTCATCCTCATCCTCCTCAGGAGGGTCGGATTCCTCGCCCTTCTTGACTTCTTCGAACGAGGGCTCGACAGAGCCGGCAATGATCTCCGCTCGGCGAGTGTACAGGGGGCGGTACCTTTCGGCGTACTTCTTCTCGAGCTCGAGGATCTCTTTCTGGAAGTCTGCTTCCACCTTGGCATGGTCGACCTGCAGACCTTTCAAGCCTTCCACGCGACGCTTGATGTGGTCTGGCAGCGACTCGATGTAGCCGGATGAACGACCGACTAGACCAGAAAGCTTGCTCTGCATCATGGCAGCCAGAGCTGGGTTAGACGCGAGGTCTGGGATGTTGCGGCACAGCGTTAGCTAGCCACACCTCGAGAGGTATGCAACGACAATTGTATGCGCGGTCGTAAATCTCAATGATGCACCAGTGAGGGTAAGTACTCACCCTTGACGCCGTCCTCATCATCTTCGCCGATGGTTCCAACAGTAGGTCGGGAGAGTGCCTCTCGAGTAAGAGGAGCGTTTGTAAGAGGCGTGTTTTGCGGCGTGGGGGCCGTCAGGTCGGGCCTGTTGCTGTGAGCGGAAACAAGTCAAATAGCATGGCTAACGTCAGAGACTTTTGCTCGAGGGCCGAATCCTGTCTCGCTTTGTGGGCCAGATCGGTTGCCACTGCTTGCGGCTCCCTAGTGAGGCTACACGCTTCTGTGTGAAGCATCTTGCAGAATCATTTGCGGGTGGCCGTTCTCCTCGATACCCTTGCAAGAGGGGATGGTAGCTCATGAGGCTGCGACCAGACGTGCCACTCACTTGATGGGGACGTTGCTCGACATGGCGTCCTTGGCGAAGTAGGGAGAATCGACTAGAGAGTCTGACCTTTCTGCTGAAAATGTTTAACGTGTAACGATGGTCTTCTTCAAGTCTGCGACACCGCTGAAGTAAGTGCTCAGCAAAGCAGGCACAAAGACTTTCCTGGATCAATGACTGGTGGTAAGAAGGAGCAAATGACGATGCATTCGAAATGAAGAAATTGACTCACGACTGTTGAAGTTGTTGTACCCTCCTACCCTCGGCTGCGCGTGTGGCGCGTCAGACTCTCTGGCCCAAGCTCGCCTGGCATGCCATGCACCCACGCAAAAGCAGCCATCAAGACGCGAGCAGCAGCAGTGCCACCTCTGCCTGCTGCCGGCAGCCAAGCTTCAACACTCGCTCGCGCCCCTCGCGCCCCTCGCGCCCGTAAGTCTGCCCCGCCAAATTTTAGGACGCGCACGGCCACGCAACCGACCAGCAGAAGATGGGCCGGGCGCGAGGGAGATGCTGCGTGCGGCACGTCGCGTTCGGCAACCTCTGCCTGCACTCGCTCCTCCTCACCCAACATCACCGCTCGATCGCCACTCGCCAGCTGAGGCTGCTTGCTGCATGCTCGAGGTGCGGTAGGAGCGCGAGTTCACAGCATCGAGCTGCTGTTTGCCGCGTTGGGCTTCCCCAGCAGCATGCATGCCGTGCACCCATGCGCCGCCACGCAAGTCAGATACGAGCGCATGGCCGCCGCCGCGCGATGAGAAGTGAGAAAGACGACGCGCGCGCCGCGTGCGCCCCTGCCGCGGGACGGAACCCCAAAATTTGGTGCGGGTGCGGACGCAAAGCCTACAGCAGCGACTCTCGGACGAGAATTGTTCAAGGGGCATTACGCTGAAGCTAATCGTACCTGCCAAGATGGACGCCATGTCGGCTCGCACTTCACCAAGGCAGCTTACTGATACAATTGAGAAACACAAGAGAGAAAAAAGGTATGAGGTGTATGCGTACAGGAATACAAGAGAATCTCGCAAAAGGTTTCAGAGTGGGTAGGATGTAATGTCGAGCGTGGCTGCTCCAATAGTACCGGACAGCACGACGGAATGGAGTGGTATCGATTTCACGTGGGAGGCAGATTCGCAGAGCGAGCCGTGCAGCAGGTGCGAACAACGGCATCGCTCAAAAGTCGTCGTCTGAATCGTCGAATCTAGGCGTCTTTTCCTGTCCTTCCTGCCTGTTCTGCATGCCTGAGCCTTTTGCGCTCCCGTTGATCGCAGCAGAAGCGTTACCCTTGACAGAAGGGACTTCCTCCCATGTCGAATTGGCGTCATCCTCCTCACTAGTCGTGAACTCGTCCGGCGAAGAACGGCGCTTCAAAGCTTCACCGCGTCGAGAGCGAGGGCGAGTAGATACATGGCTAACAGCAACCTGCGCCGAGGTGCTGGTAGCAGTATCGACAGACGAAAAGCTGGCCGACACATCTGGCGCAGGCGACGAGCGAGACGGTGGCTGATGTCTGATGTTATGGTGGCGAGTAATGGGACTAGCAGCCGCCGTTGCTCCAGTATCGACACGTGAACGGTGCGGTTTCGGATTGGCAGCACGCGATGATGTCTGGATCGCTTCCACGCTGGGGGAGATGCTGGAAGCATCATCGCTGCTCGGGAAGGCGATGCTGACCTCTGCGCTAGACCCGGCCCGGTCGCCAGCAGATGAGCTGTCGAGCGAGCTACGGGATGACCGGTGCGACAATGGATCACCCCTCCAGCTGGTTGGTGCATGATCGCCGACTAGTTGTGAAGCTGAAGTACGAGCCATGCTAGTGCGCTGTTTGATAGAAGATGAGACGGACCCGCTGCGAGATCTCGAACGGGCAAGACTGTTACGACTACTAGGTCGCGCAGACGTGCTAGCCTGGTCCCGATATTGCGAGCCAGAAAAGGTCTCGTCCGCAGAGTCACCGTCGCGGTCATCATCATCCGCATCCATCGAGCCCTCGCTAAAGCTTTCCAAGGCAAGGTCGTCGTCATAGGACAAGTCATTTGAGGCCGATGCAGCTCCATTGCGAGGCACGTCCGAGTCGTCCATCATCCAACGGGGAGGTGCGTCCTGTACGCTAAAGATGGGCTTCGAGAGTGCCCGCACTCTTGAGACCAGATCATCGAGAGATGATTGGTCAGAGCAGAGGAAGCCGAGAAGCATCGATGGGTCGAGTGACTCCATCGCCATCTTCTTTGGCGGCGCACTGTAGTGATAGCTACCAAGCTGCTGCTCCGAATAGGCGTTGACCCACCACTCGTCCGCGGCTTCTTGCGAGCCTTCCCCGCCATCTGCGCTAGGCGGATAGGAGGGAGGCGCGTGGCGGAACGGCACTGCAGGTCTCTGGTTGTGAGGGTCGAGATAGAACAGTCTCGAGCCTTGGAAGCCAACAAAATAGAAAGACGAGCTTGGTCTCCCACCAGCGATGCCGACACTCTGTGGAAACGTGAAGAGATCCTGCAAGGCCAAGAGCATCGATCGTCAGTGTCAGGCGCAGATTAATCGACCAGCTGCCTAGACTTACCTTGATAGAGTCGTGATACATCGAGTTGACACCCTCGAGCCCAAGGCGGATTCCCACGAGTATGAGCACCGGCCGCTGCCACACATCGCCAGAAGGCTCCCTAGACGCGGGTAGTGCAGCGGCAATATGAACGCGATTGAGGTACACGACACCATCGGCAGCGAGACAAACCCCAAGACCAGCTTCAGGAAATTCGTCCACGAGCTTTTTGATAGCACCCGCTGCGGTGCTCGGGCCAAACCATTCGCCAGGCTCCTTCCCAAGTCGTTTGCCCTCGCGCGCCATGCGGTGCACAGAGAATGGACATGCAGGACTAGGATCGTCGAAGAACCACGAGAGCAAACGCACGTAAGTGGCATACTCTGCGCGACTCACACGCCACGCTTCTTTGGCTTCCATGGCCGCGAGTGACTTGGCCAATGCAGCGCTACTCGGTCGAGTTCGGCGTCTCCAGTCCCTTCCCAGATGGACGTTGATAAGCGCATTGGCAAGCAGACTTTGGCCTGTCCTCAACATGCATCCCCAACCCGAGTCGCGTGTCAGATCTGACCGAACACCCAAAGCGCCGGAAAGAGCAGCTGTGGTGCGGCCCCAGAGGCTCGGGATGCCCATGCGCTCGCCGAGTCCCGGAGCGCTACCGACTTGGAAAGGCTGACCACTACTGGGGCTTGCGCTCGACGCTCGTGGCAATCCCAAAGCAGCACCTAGTCCGGGTGAAGCACCGGGCGGAGACGTGGATGCAAGTTCGGAAGCGTAACCAGCACTGCTGACAGCCGGACGTCTACCAAGCCAGCCGCGGCTCGTCCGCGAAGCTTCAACGGCGCTTGGTGTCGCCACGCCCGTGACTAAGGATGTAGTGTGAAGGTGGCTTGGGTGCTGCGACTTCAGAGGTACAGAGACGCTGGCGGTCATACTCGTAGCCGTCGACTCGAGGGCTGCCCCTTCCTCTGCTTGAGCTGTGGAAAGGGCTTCTGCAGCTTGCGTCGCAGCCAGCTCTCGTGCAGCGTCTGCCGCTTGAGCTGAAATGCTGCCGTCCCGCGCGATGGCAGAGAAGTTGGCTCGGTATGTGCACCAGACTCGGCTGGACAAATCGTCGTGAAAAGCAGCCAGATCAGGGGGCGGCGTCATACGAGCGCTGCCATTGAGTGCTGTGCCGACAGAGGTCTTTCTATGCAAGCCTGGCTTCTCATCCGCGCTGTTCCGCCGCTTTGTGGTCTCGCGAGGAGCAGACGGAGGCTGCGGTGAAGCGTGCGGGGTCGGAGGATTACGAATGATGAGCGTCTCGTCCCCGCCAGCGAGTCGCCTTTCGACCGGCGAAGGCGTACGTGGAGCGCGATCCGCGCTATCTGAAGAAGCTGGAAGAAGCAAGGAATCCTTTGAGACTGAGCTTGGCTCGCCAGGGCCCCGCTTGTCTTCATGCGCTGCAGCCTCAGCTTCTGTTCTATGTTCCGTGTTGCTTGCAGCGGGGCTGCTCGCCCTTTCGGCGCGAGCCTGGCGGGGCGAGGCGGTGTGCACTTCAATGGTAGGTCTTCGAGCAGGACTGGTGGGTCTGGGTGAATCGCGAGGGGACTGCGACTCGAGCTTTTCACCCGGCGTAAAGGTATCCTGACCAGCAACAGAGCTGTGCAGAACCCCGAGCAACCAGATGTCGCGGGTCGAAGCGTCATTCTCTGCCTCTCGAAGCGAGCGCATGGCGCGATCGAGGTTGCCGACGCGCTGACGCGCAGTATTCGACAGGTTGGACAAGATGCTCTGCTTTCGCGCCGCCGAGCCGTTCACAGAGGACCTGCTATTGGCGCGCTGAAGCGATGGGGAGACTGATCGCTCACTGTGATCAGAAGGTGGACGTTTGAGAGCAGTAGAGGAAGCTGAGGTCGAAGCGAGCGGCTGTGTAGCCTGATCGCGCTCCGCCACCTGCTCTTCTGTGCCGAGCATGTTCAAAAGCCACCCACTGAGTCTTCTAGGAAAGGCCTCACCTTGGGCTGCATGCAGCCCGTCATCGGCTAGCGAAGGTCTTCCCGGCGCGGAGGTCCCAGATGACGAAGCGCAAACCTGGTCGGGGTGGGCCTCGTTGTCTGCGACGCTGTTGTCCACGACGCGTTCTCCGGCCGCCCGACCAAAGTCCAGCAGGGAAGCAACTGAAGCGGAGGCCTGCGTGTCGATACTGGTCCGGCCGTCTGGACTCCTTAAGCTGGGACTTCTAGGACCTGGAGCACTGGTCAGCGAGGTTTTGGACCTTCGTCGAGCCCAGCTGGGCATGGAAGTGGTTCTGCTGAGCATGTCGCTTGCCCTCTTCGAGACGCTTATACTCGAGTCGGCAGAGGTTGCCAGCGAGTCGGTACTAGCAGCTGCTGCTTGGTTACCGCCAGAAGATCCCTTGAAAAAGAAAGACCGACTGCCTACCCGGCGCACAAAATTCTGCGCGGTGGTTCCGGTTCTAGGTAGCGCCTTCCCATCCGCTTGTGAGACTGACTCGCCTAGAGTCTCTTGGCTCACACTCATCGACGTTTTCCGCGTCCCGAGCGCGTCCTTCCTATCTCTCGAACCTGTACTTCCTCCTTCGATAGCTGACTTCCCCGCTGGGCTGGAAGAGCTACCGAGCTCAAAGGCGCTCTGCACGCTGGTTCGGATTTGTCTGTTCCCAACGCCTCGTAACGAGCTGGGAGGATGAGGACCGCGCAGTGACGATTCCGGATCTCCATGATGTTCCGCGACACTCTGCGATCTGCCAAGAGTCCCGATACCAGGCATGATCTTCCGCCACGTTGCAGATCGCGGACGACTGCCGGAGCGAGTTGGTGTGGAGGTGGATGGGACTACCAGCTTTGAAGGTTCCTCTGCAAATGCGCCGGATGTGTCTTTGCTGCTCTGGCGACGCAAGAGGGGCGATGCGGCTGGCGATTCCATACTGATCGGAGGTGGCCTTTTGGCAGGGGAGTACTTGATGCTGTTGTCATCGGACGGAGCAGCCGACTCGGACTGAGCGACGTGCGCTAGGCCCACGTCTGCCCTGCTCTCTGACATTTCCATGCTCCCTTAGCTCAGGACTATTTACTACGGAGCGTGGCGCTGAGGATGCGGGATGCTCCGGTCGAGCTGTCCGGATTCGATGACGTTGTACTGGGTATGTTCTTGGCTCGCCGCGAGGAGCTCCGTGCGTGGAGAAACCTCTAGGCGCTCGAGCTTGTGTACACTTCAATTCATCCGGCAAGCGACGGTCCGGCTCGACGTTTGGGACGTTGAGGCCAGGGACCGGGCTGCTTGAGGCGAACTGGAGCACAAGCAGGCACCGAGCAAGGTGATAAGAACCCAGAAGGAAGAAGAAGTTTTTGCGTAGCGCCTTCGAGTAGTCCGGTAGTCGTGAGTGAGGATCTGCGTCGATCGACCACGCAGCATCCACCCGTCTAACCGTTCCTTGGATGCGATGTCAACCGTGCGCAGCGTGTACAGGCGGGCGGGCATACACCGGGGGCGACGCTTCACAGTCGTCAAGAGTTAGCTCCGCGTCGCAGGCGCATCTTTCTCGTACGAGACGAGCGAGCACATGCCTGACGCGGCCCTCACTCGAGACGTACCACAGAAGATCACGTTTTGGTCATGAATTCTCGTTCGAGTGTGCACAGCAGGTATTCGCCACGAAAGCGAAAAACTCACGGCCGACGGTCAATCAAGCCAAAGGGCATGCCGTTGAGAGCAACAAGACCGTGCTGAGGCAGATCTGAGCTCAAGCGCCATGAATGTGAATTTCAATCGAGTCCTTGCACGCGTTCTGGTCGTGAATACATTTTCCTATTGACATTTGGTATACGCCTTCTTCAAGTGTCTTATATACACAGCCACTCACCGCTGCGGACGCCGCGTCGGCACATGATCATCGCTGCTGCATCGAATCAAGCTAGACTGGACGCGAGACCTGTCTGCTGCATGCATGCAGCGTGACTTTGACTGAGGCGCGAGCTGCTGCATGGCCTCCTCTTCGTCTGCCGCCGTTTGCTGCAGGTATGATTAATGTATTTGTGGTTGAATTCAAGATTGGGCGCGTTACAAAGTTGAAATTGAGAACTTGAATGCTATGGATGGGTCTGCCACTTGTCTCTCCAAGAGGCCCGCACAGCCCTGACGCTGTTGTTCGAGCCCGCGGCAAGCAATCCGAATTGGGATTTTAAGTATTATTGTAGCAGTCACGAGTATAGTAGTGGAGCGTGATGGATAAGTCGTGCGTCAGAGTATATACTTGCAAGCTCGTATGAGCAACACTTCTCGATCAGCACATCGATCACGACCAGCAGTTAAGAGTGTGCCATGGTGCACCGTGTCGGCGTGGCGTGCGCCGCTGTTGGCGCATCAGCTGCATGCTTGCTGTAGTCATAGTAGTAGTAGTACTACTACACTGTATAGTAGGCATTCATGATTCAGATTGTACGGTGCATTCAGCAGCAGTCAGCACCTGCAGCAGTCGTGAGTAGTATACTGTACGTGCGCTGCACAGGCGGAAGCTGCTTACCGTGCCAGTCACCATCGTGAATTAGGTGTCGGCCCACGCGTGCGTGACTGTGATCGCACTCAAGACTCTTCTGCTGATGATCGAGAGCCAGAGTGCATGCAGCAGCAGGGTGCGTGGTGCGCGGTGCGCGCAAAGGTTCATGAGAGAGGGCTTGTGCGTTGGGTGACTTCCCCTTGCGTCCTGCAGCTGCTTGATTTGTGCTCGCCTTTGCCCTGTTGCTTGGTGGCATTTCAGTCTGATTGACTCTACTACTACATGGCTGCATGTATGATCAGTCAGTCACAGCAACAGCAGCAGGTCAGACGTCGCCGTCCCTTTGATGTATCGGCGCTTTGCACGTCTTCGTGATTTTGCAGGAACCTGATTTGCCTTCTCCACACAAAGCTGGACCCCCTCTCGCAACCCAAGCCCTCAAGATCACGATCACCCTTGACGCGTCTTCACTCTGGCAGTCGCCCGATCCTCGACATCATTTGCGCCGAGCCTTTGAGTTGAGCCTTTGATACATTAGGTCGCAAGATCCACGCAAGCATTCGTTTAAAAATACTCATTTGGTGTCGCCAAACACAAGAGCAACCGCGCACCCAGAGGAGCGTTGCCGTACGCGTAGGCCCAAACAAGACGCGCGGCCTTCATCCGCTTTCTGCGCTCATCCACCAAACATCAGGCAGCACAGCGTTGGGGCCTTTTGCTTAGAGCATCTTATACATCTTCGTCACCAAAGCGGCTCCCTTTCACCATCGCCGGGGACATCGCAAGCCACGAGTACACTTCGCAAGGAAGGGTCTCCTTGACTTCGCTCCGCCGCCCGGCGAGTCCGCTAAGGCTTGAAGCCTTGGCGCAAAGCTCCAAACCATGGCAGGTTCAGTCATCGTGACTCCTACCACTCCCTTACCTTCCTCCGCCCATCCTCTAGCCACCAAAAGCAATGGTCAGCACTACACTCAATCAATAGCAGCACCTGTCGGATCAGATCCCCTGTCTCCCACAGCGGATGATGACGGTGAACCCGCAATGCTAGCGAATGGCGCATCATCAAACAGAATCACCCCTTCGTATCTGCAGGAGTCTGGCGATAAAGCGACCAATCATCAAAAGCAAAATCGAAAGAGCGGCTGGATAGAACTCGATACTGCTGCACGACATCAGGACAGACCCAAGATGTCTAGCAGCTCAAAGCAGGACAGGGCAAGACAGGAAGCTGAAGAATGGGGCACTACGGGCAATCGGAAACATCAGAGCGCCATCGGATATCCGTATAGCCCCAATGGCGAAGAGCCTGATGGCGAAGCCAAGGCCATTGAAGAGGTGAGTACTCGTGCAGATACTGCAATCTGGGAATACGGGCAGGCTTTGGGCGAGCAGAGTGGCTGCGATGGCAGCTAGGCCGCATTTCCGGAGCTGTTGCACGCGTCTTCTCTCGAAGCCTGTTTGAAAGGAGCAGCTTGATAGCGTTGATCAGCATAAGAAGGGTGCACACATGAAGGGGCAACGCAACTCCGTCACCGGGCTTGGGCTCCATGGCCCCACAGGGTGTCATCTTTCTCTCGGCTTCCTTGATTTGTCGTCAAGAGTCTTCTGCCAGCACGCACTGATGCATCGCATGAACCCGACAGAATCTCGAGCGCTGGGCCGCTGCAGAAAAGCAACGCCGCCGCGCTTTGCGTGCTTCAAGATCGACATCCCTGGTCGGCCCAGCGTCCAACTCGTCAACTACATCTCTGGCAAGGAGGATATCGACGCTTGGGCGCAAAGCGTCCACCACGACCGGAGGTGTCGCTGTCAACGGTCTCAATGGCAGTTCGACTTCCGAGTCGCCAATCTCTGGCGGTGCTGCGCTATTGCGACGCGGGTCTAAGAGCGAGAGCATGAGCAGTGCGGAAGAGGGCAGGGAGTCAGGTGACTCTTCCCAGCGTAGCCTCCGAGCTGTCAATTCCAACACCAGCGCAGGTTCTGCAAAGCGTCAGCTGGGTGATTCGATCGTAGAGGAGAGTGAGGCAGATTCTTTGCAAGGATCTTCCACACCATCATCGAGCGCGACAACGGAAGCCAAGGGCAAATGGAAAGCGAGCGAGAGCGACGGGGGCTGGTCAGTGCCACCCTCGGCTGCCGAGCAACGAAGACTGGCGTCAGACAATTACGATTCGGCAGCGGCAGCCGCTGCTGCAACTGCAAACGCTTCCCCCACAACTCCAAGTGGCAATCCGTTCGGGGATGAGAGCGAGGCGGCCGCCGCGCGAGATTCCCCCAACAAGGCACGGTCTCCTTCGCGGAGGAGAGACAGCGCGACGGATCAATCGCTAGGTCGCTCATACTCGCAATCCGGCAAAGCTACACCCCGCAGACCCATCGTCACTCCAGGCAGAGCGCCGAGCGTCCGATATCACGCGGAAAAGTCTGGCAAGTACGCACCAGCTATCGTAGCAACCGATATGGACGTAGCAGGCAATCCATTCGTTGGGAAGGAGGAGGTAGAGGATATATCTCGGAGCAGGTATGCGATGAGGGGCAGTGGAGCATACAGCAGCACCATCAACCGACCCGCGAGACAAGCGAGCGCTTCCGGACTGATGGAAGATCTGGTAGAAGAACCTAGCACGCCAACGAGTGCCGCGCCCAGTGTTGCCCAAGATCCCGAGAGGCGCATGAGTCAGCTGGCTCCTCCTCCTCGCACGAGCACTTCTACGAGTCGTTTCAACGAGGTCGGACTGGATGAGGATGATGCTTGGAGCCCCACCATGGAGGAGCCGTCTGCTGATGCAGGACACAAAGCTCAGCCTCGAGCTGATCCGATCGAGAATGAAGGACGTAGGAAACCTTGGTGGACGGAGCTGCTTTGTGGTTGCGGTCTCGCTCCCGGTGCTGACGATGAGCAGGTGAGTGTCAAGGCCCTCGCTCCCAAAGTCGCGCTACGTTTCTGCTGACGCCTGGCCATGCTGAACCTTTGCAGACTGGCAAGACTGGACCGGAATAGTCTCTGAGCGCTTCCCGCCGCTCAAAACACACAACTTCTGCAATTGAATCTCGACCGGTCCCATTCACCATCTCTCCTCATCTTCCATCCACAACCTTCTGCCTTTCCCAAAGTTGCGGATATGTCTCTCTCCCCCCCGCATCCAGTGTCTCTTCTCTCCTGTAAGACAAGTCAGACATTTCGCATCCATCGCCTCCCTTCCATTCAGCTCAAGCACTTGTGCCAGAGGAACACATCGGCATTGACATTGTAATGCGAGGATGACTCTGAATAAGCAGCGGCGTGCCACAACGAAGCAAGTGTCACAAGAACGTGTAGAGCTCATTTCTGACCCAGTCGTTGCGTTCGTCGGCCGGAAAGTTGGGGTAAAAAGGTACCAAGCTGTCCTGTGCGCCGAGGTAGCAGCTGTTGTAGACGCGGATGTAGGGCTCTCTGACTTTTCGCGCGGGATGGACGATTCCTTGAAGGGTGTGGTTGAGCAGGACACCAGGCCCCAGACTGACCCGCATCGCCTCAATGGCATCCATGACGTTGCCAATGACGTGCGGCGATGTCTCGAAGATGTTGGGCCAGACGAGGTTCAGCAAGTGCTGCATGCTGTCTTCTTGACCTAGACCGGCCGTGCCCAGGGCAATGTGCTTGACGATGGCTGCTGCCGTCTGTCGATGCACGGCGTCCCGATCCGTCAGCGCATCCTCCAAACACCCGACCACAGAGTAGACGTAATCCTTTGCCATCTCTCCGATGTACTCAAAAACGAAGCTGAGCGCTTTCAGACAGCCATTGCGGACATTGAGATCGGGAGTGCGATACTCGTTCAGAATGGCGGGGATGGTCGTGAAGGGTCCACACGTTTCGGCAACAATCGCAATGGCGACTGTGCTGCACACTCTGCTTTGACGTTCTTGCACTCGCAGGTTGGTCAAAAGCACTTGCAGGACATCTTGAGGGCCAATGGCCTTGGCGATGTAACCGAAGCTGTTGACGGCCTTGAAGAGGAATGGAAGCAACGGGATGCGAGTCAGTATGAGTTCGGGCGTTATCGATCGCAAATTCTGCACTACTCACTGCTCGACGAATTGCTTTTTTGTGTGCCTTGAGAAGATCCAGCAGCTCAAAGCAAATGCGCATCCACTCTCTTGCGCTAACAAATTCAGCGCCTCTATCTGCGATACGACCGATCAAGTTGATGCTGGCTTCTTGCACCTTCTCGTGTCTGTTGCGCAGGATAGGAGTCATGCGCGGTAGGAGGTCCTTGATCGGCGGGCTCATCTGGGTCATGCCGACGACGTTGGCAATGGCAGCCTCAGCCTCGATGATGCTGGCCAACGTCTCGGGAAACTCTTCACCCAGATGCTCGAAGAGCACGACACCCAGCTTGGACAGCAGTGCGTCTTCGCCGCATTGCTTCACTACAATCGCTAGCTTCGTGGTGAGATCTGCAGCTTGCTGGCGCGTCTTGGCGTTCTTGTTGGTGAGACGCCACAAGACCGTCGAGACGATCTGAGTCAAGTAAGGTCGCACCCGTAGACCGAGAGCATTGACGACCACTCCGAAGCCATCGAGCATGACCTTGTCCTCGTTGGTCTGCTCCTGGAAGGCATAGATCAGCCCATCTACCAGTCGTGTCTCCAGTTGTTCATCGATGTCCGCAGCGCCAAGATTGCCAATGACGTGCTGAATGGTCTCCATGCACATCTTGCGGAACGGCTCGCTTTCGTCCTTGAGTCCGTCCACGATGCGGCCAACGACGTCAGAGACACCAACCTTGTTCGCAAGCTCGACGGTGGCCTCTACAACTTGACGATAATTGCGTCTGTCGAGCGCCATACGGCGAACCCAGAACGACTTGAAGAAGTCGGGCAGCAGATCATCACGCAGGAAAGCGCCCGTTACGCCGTCCGTCGCAGCGCACTGCTTGACCACCTTGAGCACAATCTTTTTCATCTCTTCGTCAGCGCTCTGAAACTCTCGGATGAGGGTTGGCGTAACTTCCTTGACGAAGTAGAGGGTCGTGTCAGAGTCCATAAGTGGGATGATGAAGCCGATAGCTTTCAGAAAAGCCGCCAGGCCTTTTCCACGGTGCTGACGAATGCCGGTCCAGAGCGGCTTGAGTACATTCTCAAAGCTCTCGATACCGTACGGCGCAGCAGCTTCCGCAAGCGCAGCAAGAGCCAGCGCCGTCATGGTTTTGACTTTTTGCTGATCATCCTCCAAACCCTTTTCGACGCAGTCGACAAGATTTTTGAGGTGCGGCAAAACAGCACAGCCCATCATGATGGCAATCTGTTGAATGATCCGGATACCAGTGTGGCGCGCTTGCCAGCTCTTTTTACTGCGACAAACCGCTTTGAGAAATGGCAGCAAAGCCGGAATGCCCAATGCAGAAGCCACGACGCTGAAGGCTCGAGCTGTCGTATTGCGCACGTATTCATCTACGTGATCCAAGTCAGGTCGCATCGTCGAAATCATGTGAGCAAGGCCGGCCGCTTTTGACAGATTGGAGATGATCTCTCGGCCTTCCACACGCGCGTAGTAGTCTTCGTCTATCAGAAGAGGTTCGATGACGACCAAGATTCGGTGGACGTATGGTCTGACGAGATCGTCGAGCTTGTACAGGACGCGGTCGATGACCTTGACGAGCAAGTGACGCTCTTGATCCTCGAGCGTACGCTCCATCAGCAAAGGCAAGATCTTGTCGAAGAGCGGGCCCGCACCAAATTCTCGCGCCTTGTCCGTGATTTGCCTTAGCGCCGTCTTACGCATAGCCGGCGTTCCATTCTTGATCTTGAGTAGGAGACGCATGATACGCCTTTCTTTCAGCTCCTCCATGCTCAAGCTTGGTTCATCGTCACCACCAGACAGAATCTTCTTGAAGTAAGTCTGATCCTCTGCCTTGAAGAAAGCGAGTTGACCAACGCCAGGGATATCCGTTGGCAATTCTGGAGCCATTTCCTCGGCGAGGGCGCGTGACTGAGCTTCGTCCATCATCATGAAACCACCTCCGTCGCCTGGTGCAGGTGTAGCCATGAGCTTGCGGGCTGGTGTACGAATGGGAGCGTAGTCGGCTGGTGGCGCAACGATTGTGTACCCTTCGCTGGGCAGCAATTGATCCAGCTCTTCATCCGTGAGATACCTGTTCCTGGGATCGACTGCAAACGATCCATCCAGCAAGCCGCCAGCCACTGGCGTCTGCATGCCGACGGATCCTGTCCCACCGTTGGTCGTGCCGACTGGTGTCTGATCCCACCTCGAGCGCTTGGGTGTCTCTCCGGGGCCAGTAGCATCACCCGCCACCGGTGTCTGATCCCATCGAGATCTTCGCTTGCGGGGTGTTGCATCGGTTGGCCCCTCTCCCTCGCTGTATCCGCTGTCTGTGGGCTCGCGTGCGGTGGACACGTCGCTAGGCGCAGCATCCCACCGTCGCTTGCGGCCCACACGGGGTGTAGCGTCTGGCGCTTGAGCAGGAGGCGTCTTGTCACCATCAAGCGCTTGATCGCCTCGTCCATTGAGCTCCTGCTTCTCTCTCTCCTTATCTGCTATGATTCTTCGCACTCTCTCTTCCTCCCTCTCAATTTCGGCCCTCCTCATTGCTTCCTTGTAGCCGCCTTCGCCCTCTCCTGCAAGGGCGTCGCTGCCCTTCTCCGATTCTAGATCGCGGTTGAACCTGCGTAGCTGGTAGTCGCTCTGCCTGCTCGCGATCTGCCGCTGCTTGGCAGCATCCTGGATGGGATCCTCGTCATCGTTGGCGTATTCGTGTAGAAGGTGTTGAGGCGCAGTAAAAGCGTCCAGCGGGTTCTTTCTTCTTCCTGTGCCTGACGTGTCATCCTCGTCATCATCGCTAGTACCATGCCCATTCCCACCAACATCTATCTCGTTCACGTAATCCGACTTCTTGCGGCCTCCATAGACATCTGGATCTCCAGCTGTCGCTTTGCCAAAAGCTGCTTTGTCCTTCGAAGTGGCAGCTGCTGCTTGGCGTGCCGCCTGAAGCTCCCGGATCTGCGTCTCCTCGTCGTCGGCCATTGTGGTTCGACTTGTGTGTGGACGATAGCAGCGATGCTGACTGGATGTTTGCGCAGCCGATCTGGATGTATGTGCTTTAGAAGGAAAGGGTAGCGCAGACTGTCGAGTGGAGATGGTGGCAGTAAAGGAAGATTATCGACTCACGACTGAGCGTGAGGGACACTCTCACTGAGTCTGGTGGCCGATCGAGGTCCAGTCGACGAACACCGGGTGCTGCGCGCCACTTGAGGCTGAGGTCACGTGACTCTCGACGATCTCGATTTTCGCATCGTTCGAGGTATCCCTTTCCCACCAGCAAATTTGATCCTGGTGAGCGCCTTCGCATCCGACACCAGGCGGTCGAGTCAATCCAAAACCGAAATTACTCAAATGTGTCCAATGTGTCCGTGTAAGCTTCGAGCGCGTCAAATGTTGCTGCTTTTGATCAGCGGCAGTCACGAGCGCTTCACATCTAATTAGCATTGACGCGCACTTCATACATTCAAAACCAGCAGGTTACTTGCCACGGTAACCCTAGGCAAGCACTCTGTAGCGCGAACAGAAATGGTCAAGCGGCTCAATCATTTGTCTGCTCGGCGTCTTGCTGCGTCAACATCGTCCTCCCTAGGTCCAGCTTGTGAGGTCTAGTTGGATGCGCCACTTTCACGCGATTCGGTAGGTCGCTGATCTGCCCGAACCTGAGACGTCTCACCTGCAGAGCGAAGCTTGCCGGTCATGGATCTGGTCACAGGACGTTCATACTCGACTCGGCCGTCGACGGGCACCCACGAGTCAGTAGCAGAGGACCATCTCTTGAACTCGTTCGTTTTCAGATCCTTGATCACTTGTCGAAGGCCGTGTCTCTGCGCATCGTCGGACTTGGAACAAGTCAAGTTCGTGCCACGAGACGTGGAACTCTGCTGTTCAGCGATTGTTTTGCAAACGGGACATAGTCCAACTTCTTGACTCACTGCAATTTTTGAGGTGACCTCGGTAGCGCGCAGGTTGTAGCCCTTTCCAAACATGGTCGTGAATCCCTTGGTAGGATGCGCTTCGAATTTAACGACGTTCTGATCATTTAACCAAGCGACCGAGTGATTCTCTGGCAGCTGCGAGATTGTCAAGAGCATCACCCTCCAAGCATTGTCAAGATCGTCGTCCTACGTGTCAGGCGCAAGCACGCTCACATGCATGTTGAGTCGCTTTTGCAGAGACTGTACGCCTGCTTTCGCTGCTCCAGCATCTTTGACAGCGGTGGCCAACAAAACGGTGCAAAGCAGAGCGATAGATCCAGCATACAGCGAGGGCCACATCTTCACCAGCAGAACGTGTGTGGGAAAGGCGATCTCGGTTCTCCTGTCAGCTTTAATTGAGGAAGGGCTGATGAGGTACTGAAAGGCTAGAAAGGAGGTGGATAGTAAGATCGGTGAGCTCGTTGGCAAGTACAGAAGGGGATAAGCTAGGGCAGCACATTTGTACCTTATGATCTCGAAGAGAGACGCTTGACACTGACCGCGCATCGAGCGACGAGGCAGCTGGTCACTTTGCCACTGATCGCACTGTGCTTCACCTTCCCTGTTGCCGGAAGCAAGAAAGAACTTACTGCCATTTCCACGGGCACTGTGTACGGTGTCACCATCCGCATGAAAGCGCATCCTAACAACATACACTGATGTGCGAGCGGAGGTGGCTGAACCGCCAAAAGGTGCCGTTGCCTTTCTGCGAGTCACTGAGTGTTGAGACGCCAGGGTCGAGACGAGTGGCGCCAACTTTGGCGTTCTCATACTCCGCACTCTGTGGCGAGACACACTTAGAGTCAAGCAGCAACACCTGTATGTGAGCCTCAGGCACTGGACTTGCGATCCCCTCACCATGAATATAGATCTCGGGAGCGACGCAGCGTTGTGGGAGGCGGCGGCGACGCGGCACGTGCCATAGGCGGAGGGAAAGACAACATTCACATGCGCCGTAGCCGCTCGCTCTTCGAGAGAACTCATGCAGTCCGGGAGGAATCCGGGAGAGAAGGGCAAGAAAAGCAGGTGACTATTGAAATTTGCACTCGTGGCTTGACGTCGTGAAGAAGTCAGTTTTGCTTGCAGGTGACGTCGAAATATGGAGTAGTGGTGATCACGCCGGCATAGGGTGGCAAATGACTCGCTTCAAACGGGCGCTCGTGGGCGGAGAACCTCCTCGGCGGACGACGCTTTGCCACCAATCTGAGTGCAGATCGAGCGCGATTGCATTCTCGATCCGCATTACCATTCGGTCTTTGGATCTTTGAGAAATTCCTCGTATTCTTGTCGATTGAAAAAGGAGAGTTCCGTCTCGTTTTCTGCGTCGCTCCGCCAGGACAAGAGCCATCAAAGACTGTCCAAGTCAGCATATAAGAAGGTGTCGAGCTGTCTGCAAGAACGTCTGCGAGGCAAGCACGCCGTGGCTGGTCTAGGTCGCTGGGCGCACAGAGCCAATTTGCAAAAGACAGGTCTGTGGATCAGACTCACGGCAGCCCAAATCGGCGAGAGGCACTTCCTCTTTGTCGCCATCCAGCACCCACTCTGGTCTGTCTAAGTTGATGATGAGGTTAGACGTCTTGGTGAAGTGCGCATGTGTGTAGATCTTCATGGTGTCTAGCGATGTGAATGCGATGCAGGATGATTAGCAAGCACTTCTCACGATCTCCGCACTGGAGTCATCAGTCCGTAGCCTTGACTGACCAAGCTTTCCCGCTGCACTTCTGACCGTCTTCATATCCACCCTCTTGCCGATCTCGACCTTGACAATCTCTTTCAACCGCTTTACATTCAAAGTCGTGAGATCCAAGTTATCAAGCACCAAATTCCTACTTGCCCTGAAAGGGAATGATTTTATGATCCTGATAGTCAGGACTGCGGATGTAAGGGGCCTCAGAGAAGTGGTGACTGATGTTGGCTCGTCATCGTTCTGAGGCGAGAACGCGTAGAAGCCCGAAGGTAAGAGACGTGGACCTGAAGCCGTGCCTTCTCCTTTCGACGAAGCAAGCTGCGCCGTTTGCTCCGCTGTGGGAAGCAGCGAGGCTGCGTCAGACTTGCTCTGCTCCGCCATAATCTCAGCTTCAGCCGGTGCTATGGCTGCCTCAAAGGACCCTGAACACTGCCAATGGTACCGGGTAACGTGCGCGATCCTCCGCCCTCAACCGGAGGTGCCCTGGGATGGGCTGCGTGCGAAGTCCTTCCTTGGTTAGCCGGTGCTGCCGGAATTTTTGCGCAATGATGCGAGAAAGGATACTTTGTGTGCTTCAGGTCTCTCCAATTCAAAAGGACATGCCTAGCGACTTGACGTGATGGTGGTGGTGCGGTGCGAACGACGCTGCTTTGTCCAGCCTCAAGGAAGGTGGTGGCCGGCGCGGAAAAAAAGCCGCACAGCCTTTTGACACGTGAGGAAGCAACATGCATGCACGTCAGAGTGCGTAAGGTCCCTCTGGCCCATGGACAGACCTAGTTCTCATCTCACCCGCCTCTTCCATCCACAATCAAAAATACATTCACCCTTCTCGGCATCCTCACTTCGAGGGTCTACTCTCGACTGTGCTATCTACTCGCGTCGGATCGATACAGGCAAAGTCTTTTGATCGGACGCAACCTGCCTAGCACGCCCGCAGCAGCGCGTTTTGGCAATGTCACGATTAGAGATGCGCTCCTCGGCCCTGGAGCTGAGGCCTATCGAGTATCGATTCGGCTCTTTGGCGCACATAGATGGATCCGCAAGCTTCTCGTTCGGAGCTGAGCTGGTCACATTAGCTGGAGTCAGAGGTCCATCCGAAGTCCGCATACGGGACGAGCTCACAGACAAAGGCACCTTGGAGATCCTCTTTCAACCTTTGGGAAGTCCCGCTGCTCTACCCGCCACGAGTCTGGCAGCATCTCTAAGGTCACTATTCTCGGGCATCATCAGGCTGGGTGTATACCCACGAACGCTGGTTCAAATCCATTTGCAGACTTGCTCGGTCCCACTCGAGCCCCATCGACCTCCTACGGAAGAAGAGAACGATAAGCTTTTGCCTCCACACCCGGATGCTCCCATCTCTGCACCCGAGAAATCAGCCCTCATCAACGCTAGCATGGCAGGCCTCATCGATGCAGGCGTAGAGTGCAGAGCTACAGTTACCAGTGTTAGTCTGGCTTGTCTGCCTCGGAGAAAGGCCAAGGAGCTGAGAGAGAACAGAAGAGCTTGGAGAGCTGGTGAAGTGGATGTCACCAAAGAGGATGATGAGATGGATGAAGGCGATGAGTAGTGAGTCTGAGCCACACCGCCCCTATGACTTGCGTAAGATGTATGCGCTCTTTTACTGACTCGTGAACTCATCGAGCGTATAACAGCATGATTCTGCTCGACCCTACCCCCGCCGAGCTGAGATGGGCGACTAGCGATCATGTCTTTGCGTTTGCATTTTCTGGCGGCTCACCCCAGAGTCCAGGCCAAGTGCTTGCCGAGCTGGTCTTTGCGGAAAGCTCGGGACGGACAGAGTGGTCGAAGGTGAGTGTGACGACTGGAGTACCAGGCAAAGTGCTCCCTTGTGCAGCTCCATCTACTGAACCGGCAACATGCGCAATCCTTGCAATCTCATAGCACAAAGAGGTCACATCCTTGGCCAGGGAGGCGGCGCAATCTGTTCTCTCCGTGTTACGACAAACATGCCGAAAGAATGCGACAGAAAGATGATTGAGACGCTATGCATTGCTAAAGCTGAGACAGTATCTGCCAAAGGTGCCTGTTCCATCGCCGAGCTTCCATGCCTTAAGTGGCATTCGTAGAGTCGACAAAGCGCCAATCCACGTTTGCAGCCTCACTGTAAGCATCAGGAAATGTTGGCGCGACTACACCAGGTCTAGTCATGTTTTCGCTTTCACAATGACGGTCAACGGTGCTCAAAAGCATTCAATTCTTGTCATCTCGCCTCATCGTTATCCCCTTTCAAGCTGCTCAAGCTCCGTGTCTCGGTCACCGACTCGCCAACGACCCCGGATCTTGAACAAATTTCGACGACCTCTAGAGCGTCTTCATCACGCCTTGCCACTGCATACACCTCAAGGACTCATCTTCGCCTCTGAACACGCGCGCGACCTTTGCGAGAGGAAAGATCGAAAGACTGTCAACGTTCCTCGAGAGTTGCATAGGAGGGTTTCTGATGCGTAAGAGCGCACAGGTGCCAAACTTACCTCACCTGCTCGGCTCAGAGCCAGTGCCCAAGCGAAGGCCCGGATGAGCCTCGTGAGTCGGATCCACTGCTCTGGCTAGTGCTTCGACTTCTCGTTCCGCCGGGCGGCGCAGCGCTCGAACTGGCTCCTGCCGTCGAGGGTCCCGGCTGAGCTAAAGACAGCCCAGCACCGTCAAGCTGTTCTGGGGCCTGTCGGTGCCCTTGTAGGACCAAAGTCTGGCGTCTGCGATTACGATGGGCAGCCTCATCGATCGTCAAAGCGTGAGCGCTCCGCAGAGGGCGGCCAGTGTTGGATGCAGGCTGCGCTTCACCCTGCCAGATTGGTTCCCACTTGCCAGTAGCAGAGTTGTATGAAGTGTAAACCTGCCGGCCCGAAAGCCCTGAGCGAGTGAGTACAAGGTTCTTCCTCAACATGTCATCGAGCTGAGGATGGAAATCGAATGAGTTCGAGCCCATCAGTCAACCGCAGTTATCGAGGCCAGATGTTCTTGTCGGACTCACGACCTGGTCCAGTTTCTGCCTTTCTCCTGGAATTCTATGGCCGTGCGGAATGAATTGAGAATCGAAATCGATGCCATTGAAGCGGGTAAAGCCTCGCTGAGGGAACCATCTGTGGAGGACTTCTCTGGTATCGGGCTTGTGCCAGTTCAACGCCATACCAGGGCCGATGTTCTGAGTGCAGAAAAGCTCTAGTGTCAAATGAAAGGCAACAACTTGTTCTCATCAATCGCGCCGAACACTCACAAACCAGTCTAGGCTGCGATGAGCGAAAGACGATGGAAGAAAGCGAAGCAAGTCCGAGGCCCACTTGATGAGCTCATTGTCTACTTAAAATTCTCGGTTCAACTTCGCGCATACCTTGGGTGCCTACGGATGTCATCTGCCATCGGTGGCGCTCGCGAGGCAGAAGAACTCCCAGGTTCAAGGAAATTTAGGGTGCGAGCCGCACGCGACCCTTCGGAAGACGAGCTTGAGCTCGAGCTACGGCTCCCGCCTGCGGGTAGCCCGTCATGAGACCAATACCGAACGCCAAGTGCTTCAAGGGCCTGCCTCATCTCTCTGACACTGTCGGGCACGTCGCCCGATCCCAGGCAAGTAGTACTGAACAAGAGCACGCCCAATTGCGCAAGCAGTGCGACAAACGGGAAGCGTGCTTGAAACATTGCGAGTCGTGAGTCTTGAGGCCTAAATCGGATGCCGAAGGCGAAGGTGTGCAAAGCCACGAGGATCTCTACCTGGTGTGTTAGAATGGCGATGACGCGGCGTCGGAAGGGGACCAGCCTCCAGCTCTGCCGGGATTAGGTGCAGATTATCCTTGTAGGGGAACAACGGCGGATAGATCTTGGGAATGCTGTCAAGGACAGCGCTGGGGAACGTTTCGACTTGCTGTAGCGAATCTGAGACGAGAGCCAGCTCTGATCTGAAGTGAGACATAAGCTGAGACATGCCATCAGTCGTGCCCTTTAAATACTTTTCATATAGAGGAGCACACAGGCGCTGGTTTGAGCGATCAAGCGGGGTGTGCTTAGAGACCACCTGTGACAAGGTCTCGAAAGCGCTCTTTCTGCGTCGGCGTTTTACTCAATCCACCACGTCTGTCTGTGTCTAGAGCACACAGAGGCACCTCAAACACGCGGCTGCCACGTCTGCAGCACACACAGCGCCTGAGCTCTGTCTAAGCTCGGTGTAGCCGTGAGAGAGGCGCGGGGCTTTGAAAAGCAATATTATCGGAGAAGAGGCGTGCTTTGGTGAAACCAAACCTCAAAGCCTGTCCTCTAGCAACAACGCGCGAGGTGCGCGTTTTTGTTTAGGTGTGTTGGAGCTTCGTGTCATTGTTTTCGGACTCAGTTGTCTTGCAGGCTCGACAACGTTACAAGACAAAAATAATAACACGCCAAAGCAGGATGGCAATGAGACAAAAAGACTCCCTGACTCTTTGCAGAGGCGGCTCTCAACACGGGTGGAAGATTGGACCCACAAATGCTGGATCACAGACCGCTTCGCAAAGCCAAGTTGGCTCCTGGTGGGATCGATTATTCGGCCCCTCCCATGCACCAGAGAATCATCTTTCGAAGACGCAAATAACAATGCCCTACATCCAGTTCAACGGTACCTACAAGTCCGTATTTCGATCGACCCGAGTGCAGACTCTCAATGATGCGGCAAGGTGAGGTCGATCCAGTCAGACACTTAGTATGCAAGTCTGCACCGCGACGCCCGACGATCTTCATACTCTCATTTCTTCAACTTTGCCATGTCTGCATTACACCGCAAAGAGATGGCAGCGTGATGAAAAGCAACATTTAATTTCGACGCTCATCTCGCACGTCGACTCTCTCCTCTCCTCTCCTCTTCCTCCAGCACCCAACGCCATCGCACGACGCTACCATACTTCCTTTCGACGATGCATCCAATCTGTCTTCCTACAGGTGTAGACCCGCCTCTTTGGGACCAGCTAGCCTGCTAAGCAGGCCGCCATCCGCCGCTACCGTCGCCACTGGAACTGGAGCTACGGCTTTGACGACCGCTTGGCAGATTCGCCGCTCCACTAGGTCCAGCACCAGACGACTGGCCGGGCAGAAGCGACGGGCCAGCCCCTTCGCTGGAAGGCAGGCGGTTGGTCACGCGTCTGCGTGAGCGGGGCACTGGATCGGTCGCAGGGTTCACACTAGAGTCAAGGATGGGAATGCGTCCCTGTGGAGCAGCGGAAGAGCTGCCCGTGTCCCATCCTGTGTTCTCCCACTTATTCTTTGCGACGTCGTAGGTTTGATACCTTTGCACACCAAAGCGTGAAGAGCGCGTTACAATGAAACCTTTCTCTCTCATGTCTTTGAGCTGTCATTGACACGTGGGTGGCGAGGGATCGCACGTCAAAAGACGAATGAGTACGTTGAGGATGAAATGCAAGCTCAGGCCGCCTGGTTTCCCTACTCACCGCCTGGTCCAGTTGTTCCCTCTCGTTCGGCAGCCGGCCACCGGCCGGTGCCCTGCCCACATCCATGTACTTGCCATTCCACGTCGTAAATCCAACCCAAGGAGCCCAGCGGTGCACGACTCGTCGAGTTTGGGGTTCGTGCCAGTTGAGCATTCGAGTGTCACCGAGTTGCTTTGGGACAGGAAAAGAGATGTTGTTTGAGTCAATTGTGAGTTCGTTGCTATGTTGGGCAGCGGGAACAGATGAACCTACCATCCAATCATCGCTGAATGAATGCAAGGTCCCGCAGCGAGCAATTGTCAGCGATCAGAGAGGGACACGAAGGGCCTTCGTAAACTCACGGAGCCTTGTACAGAGGATTATCGGCCGTGCGGATTCGTGGCGCCTCACCGGATGAACTGGCTTCCAAGTGAGCAGCATTTTGAAGTGGACGCGAAGCACGCCCGCTGTCAGAGGACGAGCTTCCTCCTGCACTCAGACCATGCGGTGGAGACCATCCTTGCTTATCCAGGAGCGCCTCCATGATTCGGTGAATTTCCGGAGGATCGCCAGCAGCGTGACACACTCCAGCAGACAAGAGAAGAATGTTGGCGACGGTTGCAAGCACTGCAAAGAGCACACGTCCACGCAGCATGCTGATACTCGGAGTCACCGCTAAGCGTTTGGAGAGGAGTCAAGTGTTTTGAAAGAGGCACAGACGCGATATCTTGCGGTGGACAGCTAAGCAATGTCGTCAGCGACAATCGATGGAAGCAAAAGCGCTTGTAGCAGAAGAGCTTAGCAGAGTCAAGTCGTGAGCGCGAAGAGAGCCAGCTCTGTTCTGGAGAAGAGGGAAAGCTAAGACAATCGACTGCGCGCACTGTTGCTTGTTATATGGGTCTCAGCGCTGGACAGCGGACGCCGCCGAAGCTACGTCGAAGATTGTCTCGACCGGGCTCTGACGCTGACGGACGCCAGTCACAACACCTAACGCATCCCTGATGTAAACACAGCGGCCGGAGCTCGAGCGCCTCAAAGCTGCGGCAAGGATACGCCATTCCTTGAATTGCGCAGCTCTCCAACGCACGTCAAAACAACCGCAACGGCTTCAGGCGACTCCGTTTGCCAGCGGCATTTCTTTCCCACATCATGCCGGCCAACCACACAAAAGCGACGTAAGACTGGATCACAAATGTCATGATGTGACTTGTCACCGTGCCGTCGATATATCACACTGAGCTCGAATTTCTGACGGACGGTTTGAGAGTGTCCTAATGGACGCCATGTATAAGATACATTCGACAGTCTGATGCTGGCGCATCGATACCCTCATTGAACGAGCGGCAGTAAAGAGAGCGCGCGCAATTGTCGAGTTCGTAGCGTTACAGCGTATCAGGTTACCTCGCTAGCCGTTCGTAGGTCCTGACTCCCGCAAACAAGCCAAGTGCCAAAGTGCCAACACCAAGGACAGCAACACCATCCTCGACCACTTTTGCTTGCCTCCTCTCTCTATCTCTAGCTTGTGAGTAGGGCAAATTGGAAAAGGTGACCATGGAGTATAGGCTTGACCATATTGATCGAGGCAGAATACTCATCAACACCGTGTCTAACGCTTTGCGCAGCAGATACGTCCGCGAAATGACTGTTGTGTGACAAGAGCGTCAAATATAGGGTAAGCAACAACAAGGAATCTCGCAAAGTCATAGCTGGATGCAGACCCTGGAAAGCAAAGCAAACACCTGCCACTCACCCTTGCTTGACATTTCTATGTAGTTGTTCTTCGCCAGCTCGCAGATCGCCACCAGGTCGTCGTGTCTGGTGTTGGAGTACTCGGCGAGGGCAGGCCCTAGGGCGCGCTTCGGATCGGACGTCCTATGGGGGACGTCGGTCCCATTTGTTTGGCGAGAAGAATGCTTGTCTATGAGTTGCAGAAGAACCCGCACATCCTCAAAGCCACAGTTCAAGCCTTGTCCGTAGAATGGTAGCATGGCATGAGCCGCATCGCCAATGAAGATTGCCTTGTCGGCGTAGTGGTAGGGTTTGGCTTTCACGCTAGCCAAAGGACTAGGCTTGCGAGACAAAATGTCCTTCACGATAGCGTGTCGGCCGATCAAAGGCAGCGCATCCGCAAAGTGTTGCTCAAAAAAGGCAATGGTGGATGTGGGGTCGGAGAGATGATGCTGAAAGATGTGAGCGGGGGCAAAGAGGGTGCAGGTAAAGGTCTTGTCGGGATTGGGAAGAGCGATGAGCATAAAGCTGTGCCGTGGCCAAATGTGAAGATGATGTGGATCGATGACGAAACCTCCTTGCAGGCTCGCTTGGCCCGGCTTGGCTGCTGGCATGGATAGCTCGACGTACAAAGAGTCGATGTATTCCCTCGCGAAATCCAAAGTGGTCGCTCGAGCCACGCTGTCCCTCACAGCCGAATGCATGCCATCGCATCCGACCACCAGATCTGCCGCGCGTGCTCCAGGCGCTCCAGCAAAGGTGAGCTGCGCCGGTTGCGCATCCAGGTCCAATCCCCTCAGCTTGTGCTCGTACACCACCTCCACTCTTGCATGCTTTTGCGCTCGTTCCAGCAACAACCTGTTCAACCGGGCTCTATCTACCGAGTGTATGCATTCTCCCTCTGCTCCGTATCTCTGACTCTGCTGTTCTCCTCGTTGCGAATGAATCATTCTTCCTCGCATAGGTACAGCGCGAGCCAGAACATCGCTTGCCAGCGACTCGCTCACGCTGCTCAGACCGGCCAGACCTCGCGTAGAGATGGCAAGGTTGATACTTCGAAGTGACGGCGCCTGCGCTTCCGCCTCGCTCCGACTTTCGTACATTGTCACTGAGAATCCTCGTTCGGCCAATCCTAGAGCGGCCAGACAGCCAACGGGACCTCCTCCGATGATCGCAGCTGTGCTCGTCTGGCTGCTAGATGCAGAAGTGGACGCCATGGTGAAAGGACTAAAACAAATCGAGACTTGCGACGTGCCGCGGATCAAACGATGGTTGATGAGGCGTGCGTGCGTGCGTGCGTGCGTGGTGGAAATGAGGCCAGAGAAGGAAGGGGCAAAGGTGCGCGACATTTGATCTCACGCAAATGAGCTGATCAAACAGTGGTGAATACAGCCGGCAAGGGATGCGTCCCAACAAAATGTAGGTAGGTACGGCTATTTCAATCGCGCTGGGGGTCTCTGACACGAAGATGTGCTTGTGGAGGGCTCAGAGCAAAAAAAAAGCAAGTTTGACGTGAGCCCAGCAGCAGCCGTCGTGACTCAGCTGTGCAGCGGATAATTTCTCACCTTGGGGCAAGGATGTGGCGCAGGCAGTCATGAGTATACGGCCGAAATCTGAACGGATGATGGGCTGTCTGCAAGACGGGAGGATTGCGGGAGAACGACAGATCTTGCATGCCACCACGCTTGGGTTTGGTAAGCTGCTTGTGTCTGTGCGCTACTCATTCATACACAATGAGAATTCAAGGTTCTGACGGCTCGCAAAGAGAGTCGGCAAGGCGAACGATCGCGAAGCAAAAGCGGATCGTTGCGTCGCGTGGTCCCTCGACCCGCCGCAAGCACGGGCGAGGAGGGTACTGGTGTGCGACCCGCCAGGCTCTCCCACATGGCAGCTCAGCGATGCCACTAGCCAGAAGTTTGCTCAACTTGATCGAGAAGGAGAAGACAGGAGTCATGAAGCGACGTTGAAACACCATGGCATCAGTCGTGTGTGTTACAAGTAAGCGCTCGAGAGGGAATCAAAGTCGTGCGAGGATCATATCAAGATGCACCAGCTCCGGCCCACTTGACCTTTTTCTGGGTGCTAGAGCTCCTCTTCGAGTCGTCCGATTCTCCTTTCCTCGCAGATTTCTTAGCAGCCTTGTCCAACGCCTTCCTCTTTTCTTCCAACTTTCTCGCCTCTTCACCCTTGACACCCTGAGTATATGACAACTTCTCGTATAGCTTGCGCTGTCTGTTCGACATGAGCATCTTGGACATTTTCCTCGCTTCTTCTGTCTCTTCCGTCTCTGCGCTCCTGCCCGACGCTTTGCCTGCTGGCTTGACCTTGTCGCCTCGGGCCGCCTTCTTGGCTGCTCTGAGAGCGTCGGCGTGTGCACTTTGCAGCTCTTCGAGCGCGGCATCACCGCCCGCAGCCTCGGCTTCCAGCTCGGCTTCTGCTAAGAGGCCTTCGTCGGTCGGAGTGACGAGCAGCGCAGCCAATGCTGGCCTCTTATCTTTGGCAGCTGCTGAGTCTTCGTGCTGCATCTCTTCATCTCCTGCGACCGCGTCGTCAGCCTCGTCCGCTTCCCCTCCGATGTCGTCCTCATCGGACGAATCTTCCTCAGCCTCCTGTTCAGCTGCTTCCTGTGCCGCCTCTACATTTTCAGCCGGTGCGATCTCATCCAAGCCCGCCTCACGAGGAACATAGCCGCCTTGAGCCTTGACCTCCGCATCGTCCACAAAGGGGCTGAGGTGCGGCGGCAAAGAAGCTCCAGGCGCATAAGGCTGGGTAGGCAAGATCCTGCCCGCGTTAGCAGAGTCGACGATCCATTGAGGTTGTACTTTGGCCATTCGAGCTTGCGTCTGGCTTGTGGAGGAAGTGACGGGCCTGTCTACGATGTAGTGAGTGATTCTGTCATCGTCCGAAGAGAAGCTCGATCCTGGGCCTGATACTTCGTCCCACCCAAGGTGACTCGGCGCAGTCCCAAATGAGCGCAACACGAACTCAATGACCGCTTTCGGACACTCTCGTGAGATGTAGAAGTAGTAGGGCGCAAAGAGGTGCGTGCGGGAGTTGCTGGCGGAAGAGGCGTCGATAGAAGCGTAAGAAACCAGGCCAGACGTTGTCCCATCAGCCGACGGCTTTTCTACAAAATCATCTGCGACAATCTCCTCGCTCGAAGCAGGGCGATCTGCTTGGGCTTCGAGTGGCGTGTCATCAGCAGCACCATTCGCAGCGAAGCCCTCCTGGGCGACCGCTTTGATGGCCTGTTTCACATCCTTTGATGTCACTTTTCGGCCAGCAGTATCAGTGTCGGTGGCGCCTTTGGAGCTACGAGCTCCTTGGCCAGGAGTGAGTACAGCACTGCTGCTTTCTACGAGACGTAAAACTCCAAGGGGTCCAGCACCTGCTTCCTCAGCGCTTGACTCGAGCTTGGGGGGGTACACGAGACCAAGGTCTGTGTAGAGCTTAAACATGACAAAGCCTAGAAGCGTCTGATACAGCTCGAGGAACGTCGCCATAACTCTGAAGTCCACGTCGGAGGGGATCTGTAGGGACGCGTGAGAACATGAGTGTCAGTGACAGCAGTCTGGCGGTCCTTGTGCCCACATGTACTGGTCACGCGCTACCCCTCTAGGCGCATATATGCTCACATGCTGCGTGAACAGGTAAGGCACAAGCCAGGTGATCTGCTGACCCCGTACCTCGGCTTGAAAGTAGACGCCCTTGATGCTAAAAAACACCTTTCTGAGCGCCTGCGCCCTCACCACGTAGCCCTGCCATTCCGCGCAGATCCTCGCGCTCTTTTCCACCAGCTGGTGATTCAAACGATCTCCAGCAGGCAGGTTGGCGAAGAGGAAGAGTAGGCTGAGCGCATCGTCCAAATCTCTCAGACTGTCGTCAAAGGTGGGATACCTCTCCCTGATGATGTGATCGAGCTTGACTAGAGGCCGCCTGTCAGCCAGCCCTTGAGCGCTGTGCCATTCCCTCTTGCCAATGGCTCTGCTCAGCTTCTTCGCAAAGCTTTTGTGTGCCCTCAGCGTCTGAAGCACGGGCTCGTGAGCCAAGTATGCAACATCTTTGGCGTAGTAGAACGTGGCAGGTGCGGCATTACCCTTGTTTGCTCTCTTTGCATGTCGAGGTACCCGTGGATGAATGCCCTTGAGGATGCACAGTCTTCTGAAATCTGCGAGGGTCACCTGAAGCTTCTTGAGGGCCGAATTTCTGGTGACGTAGTTCTTGGCCGCGCCAGACTGTCCGCGCTTCTTCAACTTCGCCATCGTGGTTGGGAAGGCGTAGTGTACTGGCTACGTCGAAAGGGGTGCGGCGATGGAAAGGCAAGGTAGGGGTGTATGCGCGAGCGCTGACAGAGACAGAGTGGTGCTTGCTCGAGCGCCTCTGCGCCAATGATCGTGTATCGATGGGTGAGAAGCCTGCTGTGTGGCTTGGCAGTTAATGGTGAGCAGCGGGAGTCTTGTATGTCCGGACGGCTCATTTGCACGTCAAGAAGAGTCGTGCGAGGTTGCGCGTCTGAAGCGCATCTTCAACTTTTTCGCCTGGCGCAGCTTTCCTAAATTTCAACAATGTCACGTGTGCGCAAGAGAGAGTCAAATCAAGAATGCGAGCTTGTTCGAGAATCTTTGTGCCGGCCTATGTATATGGACTGCCATGCATATGTGGGCGCGGCTGACTTGGGCTCGCCGCGGCAAGGGTGAATCTAATGCACCTCGCAAATCCGACGTCGCCTGCGGCCCCGATTGAAAACCCAAGTGTTGCGCGCAGGGCTTCAATTGCTGCACCGAAAGGCCGGAGTCGGTCGAGTTAAGGAGCCATTTGGGCTCACGCGTGCATATGCTTGCTGTCCATTCAGATTGGTAATTGCTAGCTGAAACTGAAACAGCCGGGCGAAGGAAGGTGTGAAGGTTGCTGCTGCTGATGCGTTCATGCAGCAGCATTGACCCGAAACACGGATTTGCGGGGCTAAGACTCTCAGACCTTCATTTTCGCGCGCGTTGCGATGTTCTGGCCGCGAAAGACGCGGAGAGATGTCATCACACCCCATGCAATCAATCACCCACTCATGCCCGGCATCGGCACTTGTTAGTAGCAATTGAGAAGCAATTTGGCCGCCTAGGCTTGCATCGTCGCGGCCTTCATTTCTCGGGCTCCTCAGAACCCGAGAAATGAAGCCCAGACTGCGCCCCGCGACGGAGATGAACGTCGAAAGTGCTGGACGCTGTTAATTGGCTCCACTTATGAGCTGCAGACGTCGGCCTTCGCTTCCGGATTCCTCGAGCATTGCAAAGCATGGTCAACGCTCATCCTCGTGTATATAATGTGGGTCCTCATCCCCAATCTCGCCGACCTATCTTCCCTCACAACCTTCTTCCATCCCTCAATCCGCCAGCAGATCATCCAAGCTTCTGCATCTCTCTACACCACACCTCAAGTCTCTTTACACAATGCGCGGACCTTACGTTACAGCGGCGGCCGCTGCAGCAGCCACGCTGATGGCCAGCTCTGCCGTCTCCGCAATGCCTCTAGGCTTTGACGATTTGAGTGACCCAACCTCATATCTGTCTCCCCGTTCCTCCATTTCAGAGCGCCGAGACGTTTCTAGTTCCCTCAAGACCTGCCTGAGTAAGACGGGAGCTCAGATCGACTATCCTGGAAGCAACGCATACAACAGCGAGTCGTTCTCCGAGAACAGCTCCATCAAGCCTTACCAGCCCGCCATCATCGTCACACCTGCCAACGCCCAGCAAGCAGCGAGCGCACTCAAATGCGCTGCCAACGAAGGTGGCAAGACCAAAGTTGTAGCGAAGAGCGGAGGACACTCCTACGCTGGTTACTCTTTGGGCGGTCAAGATGGCTCCTTGGTCATCTCACTCTCCAAGTTGGAAACTCTGACCGTGGACAAAAGCGCCAAGACTGCGCGCGTAGGCGCAGGTAACCGTTTGGGACCCATGGCACAAGCCCTTGGTGAAGCTGGATTCGCCTTGCCTCACGGTACCTGTCCCACCGTCGGAACGGGCGGTCACTCGCTCGGAGGTGGTTGGGGCTTCAGCAGCAGAAAGTGGGGCTGGCTTCTGGACCACATCGTCGAGATGGAAGTGGCTACGCTGGATGGAAAAGTCAAGAAAGTCAATGCGCAGAGCACGGGCGACGATGCCGATCTTTGGTGGGCTCTGCGGGGTGCTGGCGCTTCGAACTTTGGCGTCGTCACCACGTTTACGTACGCTCTGGAAGATGCACCCACAAACGTCATCAATCACTCGCGCACATATGCCAACAACAAGGACTGCGCTCAAGCGCTGCTGGCATTCCAAGACCTCGGTGCCAAGACGGTCGCGAACGGCGGTCTGCCCGCCGAGTTTGGCGCCGAGCTCTTGCTCTACGGTGAAGGAAGCGGCTCCGACGGAGCTTGCACCATTTCTGGTCAATATCTGAGCGGACCGAAACACTACCAGAACGCATCGCTCATCCTCGACAATGCAATCTCGAAGCGAGGCGTCAAGCCATCCAAGACCTCTGCTCCCGCCTTTAGTGGCAGTCAGGATGGCGACAACAGCGCTTGGCTTCAGGCTCTTAAGAACCTGGTGAGTCATGGCACAAGCCTCTTTTTCACTTGAACGATCCTGATCTGTTGTGTCTTGCGATCTTCTTGCAGATGGGCGATTTGCAACAAGCACCAGCTGCAGACCCTTACTACGCCAAGAGCTTGCTCGATGATGGTAATGTGCGCTTCAACCCCGCTTCGGCCAAAGCCATCATCGACAAATTGCAAAGCTATGTCGGCGGCGAGGAAGGCAATTCGATCAGCTTCGACCTGAACGGTCCAGCATCCAAGACCAACGCCCCTCTCAGCTCTGCCTCAGCATTCGACACCAACCGAGGTTCGCTCTTTTTCAACCAATTCTACTCTTACGGAGTGCCCGGCCCCGACAATCCCAAGGGCCAGCAGTCGCTGTATACCAAATTCGATATCCTGGTCGACACTGTCAAGAACGCGGCACCGAACGCGAACTGGAGAGCTTACTCCAACTACGTAGACTTTAGACTGAAAGACTGGGGCCGCGCTTACTACGGCAGTAGCTTGGACAGACTGAAGAGCATCAAAGCCAGACTCGACCCGAACAGCGTCTTTGACTACCAACAAAGTCTTGCTCATGCCTGATCCTGGCAGAGAATCACCTGATGCATCTCGATGACGTCTTGACTAACTTCACGATCGAACGCTCTCAACAAAAGCATATGGACATTTGAATGCTTGCGCTCCGCATCTGCACCATCATCATCATCGCCGTCATTATACCTTTGCTTCTATCATGTAACACAATTCGTCTTCTGCAATTCACCTCTTCCGACTCCCATTCGCATGGAGGAACTATTCCGGGGCCGCTTGGCTGTGTGTCGCTTGCGATTATGTAGCTGACTGATGAATTCGTGAAAATTTCGTGATTGTGATGAAGAGGGGCCCTTCATGTGACTCACGCCCATTTGAATGTCTTGCCGATGATTGGAGAGAGGCCGCTCCGAAGTCCGCGGACTTGCGCGTTGCAATTCGCATGACTCGCTTAGCGTTTCGTTGAGTCGGCGCGCTTGCGCTTGCGACTGCGACTGCGACTGCGACTGCTCTCTGCACGCTCAGGCTGCAAAAGCGCTTCAGGCTGAATCGATGCTCGCGTTCCTCCAACCTGACGACGACTGCGAATGACATGCGATCGTACAGCTCCGCCACTCTCCTCTATGGACGAAACACCTCTTTCTGACTTGCACATCCGAGGCTTGCACCTCTCTTAGCAACGAACGTCAACAGTGACACGAGTCCTAAGCGACATAGCGCTTGAACGAGGATAAGCTGGTCATCTTACCGCTCTGACTGGCACGTGAACTCCTGCCCGGACCATTCACCTCTACCACGCGCACGCTCTATGGCTGAGACAACACACGCAGCAGCAGCTCCGGTGGTAGCTGCAGTCAGCGGGGAGCAAAAAGTGACGCCATGGGATGTAGAAGGAGCGACGATAGATGGCAAACAGGTAGCGATAGATTACGACAGGCTCATTGTCCAATTTGGAACGAAAAAGATCGATCAGGCTCTGTTGGAAAGGTTCGAGAATGTCACGGGTTGGAGACCTCATCCGCTGCTGAGGAGAGGCGCCTTCTTCAGTCATCGGTGAGTACACGCTTGAGAGGGGCGCTGCTACGCCAGCGGCCAATCGTGACGAACGCTGAGTGCGCGACGCACGAAATGCTCCTTCAAACGACTGCGCGATCAGCGGCGTGGAACTCGAGCTATGTGTGCCAGCCAGTTGGGTAAGAAGTCTGTGCGCTGACTCGAGCAATGTTCTTCCTCCTGATCACCAGCGAACTAGACGTCATTCTGACTCGTTTCGAGCAGAAGAAGCCCTTCTTCTTGTACACTGGCCGAGGACCTAGCAGCGATAGCATGCACCTGGGCCACCTCATCCCTTTTCTCTTCACAAAGTGAGTCGTGATAGAGCGCCTTGAGGCGACAGCTGCTCCCTGCCATCCGCATACACGCCCTCGCCGCAATCTATGCTGCGCCTGGTGCTGACTCTTCTGCTGTACCTCTCCCTGCAGATGGCTGCAAGACGTCTTTGACGTGCCCTTGGTGATTCAGCTCACAGGTGATTTCAGCGCCACCCTGAAGAAATCTCGTCATCTGCCGCTGACTTCCTCGCATCCCCTCAATTTCTCTGCAGACGATGAAAAGTTTCTCTTCAAACCCAAGCTGAAGCTGGAAGATGTGCAGAAGTTTTCAATCTCCAACGCTAGAGATATCATTGCTTGCGGATTCAAGCTGGAGAAGACTTTCATCTTTTCAAACTTGGACTTTGTAGGGTGTGTACGAGAGCATTGCGCTCAGTGATCCTACCCGCCCAGCTTGTTGATGTCCTTGTTGGTGCGCACCTCCCTTCTAGCGGCCCCTTCTACCACAACGTGGTGCGCATCGCGAGAACCATCACCACGAGTCAATCGAAGGGCACCTTCGGCTTTGACGACTCGTGAGTTGGATGAAACGATCGAACGTCGCGCATCGCTTCCTGGCTCACTCAGGTGGCTTGAATGCGGCGTGCAGCGACAATGTGGGCAAACTACACTTCGTATCGATCCAAGCCGCGCCATCCTTTTCCAACTCTTTTCCGCAAATCTTTGGCGCAAAGAAGGACATTCCGTGCTTGATTCCATGCGCGATCGACCAGGATCCCTACTTTCGACAAACACGAGATGCGGCTGTAAAGTTGAAGTATCCCAAGCCCAGCTTGATTCACTCCAAGTTCTTTCCCAGCTTGCAAGGTAGCCAGACCAAAATGTCTGCTTCCAATGAAAGCAGCAGTATATACATGACGGACACGGCTGCCCAGATCAAGAACAAGATCAACAAGCACGCTTTCAGTGGAGGACAAGAGACTATCGAGGAGCACAGACGATTGGGAGGCGATCCGGACGTCGATGTGTCTTATCAATACCTCAACTTTTTTGTGGATGACGATGAGGAGATGGAACAGATGGCGCAGGATTACAGGAAGGGAGAGCTGATGACTAGCGAGCTGAAAAAGAAGGCCATCACTGTGTTGCAAGCTGTGGTGAAGAACTTTCAAGATGTGAGTATGGCAGCCGAGTCGCGGTTGAATGTCAGATTGTTTGCGCGCACGGACGATTAACGTCAGCGTCTCCCACCTTTCATCGATGTAGCGCAAGGCAGCAGTGACGCCCGAAGTCATTCGGCAATTTATGGACAAGACCCGAAAGATCGATCACGAGCCGACCGAACCTGGCTCCACTGCACATTTGCAAAACGACGCTTTCGTAGGCCGGTCCACGACGCTCGACTCGATCACGAGTGCCGTTGAGGCCGTGTCGCTTTGAGCTGCTGTGCAATTAGTACCAATTCGCAGCGCTCTTGTCCAACGCATCTGGTAATGCTCCGGCAATGTCGATGCAGCTTGCACCCTCATGAGCATTGTAGATGTGCCGCATGTTCGTTCTGCTTTGATCCTCCCGACTTACTTCGAGACGTCTGACTCATTGCATGACTGCCATGAGCGCAAGGTCTGCAATGCTTGACGAACGCTTTTGGTCGGCTCCTATCATTCAAAAGGTATTCCTCGCATCTCACAAATCGAGTGTCTTAGTTTCCATGAGCCTTGAGTTCACCGCACTTGCAGGCACACTCTTGAGACTGGAACGCTTCTTCTGACAACCCGCGCAGGGATCTGACAGAAGAGTCACGTGACACGGATACCCACCTTCTGCCAGCCATGTGGCCGAATCGCCCCGAGATCGAGACGCGTGCGCTGGAATTCGCTCAACGCGCGCACGAGCAGGAAGCCGTGCATGCCGGCGTACGGGCAGGAGGATATGATCATCGATGGCGCCCGCCCGCCCGCCCGCCGCGAGCGACGCTGGATCATTCACTGATTGAGTCGAGTCTGAGTGCAATGCGAGATGCGATGGGCAGGGAGGGACTTGCAGTTGAGTCGTGAGTCCAGGCAGATGTTGATCGTAATTCACGGCGCTTGAGCGTGACGACCACATCATCCCCACCTTGTTTCTGGTGCCTAGCCCTTTTTACAAGCTTCCTAAAAGCAGCAGTACCATCATGTCCGCTCGTCTTTTCAGCTCTCGAAGCTTCCAAACCGTCGCTCCTCGGGGCGCACGTTTCGCATCCAACCTTCCCATCCCTCCAAAGGTGGCCACTCCCAACATGGTCTCCTCCGGCGGCAGTTCCAAACGTATGGATACCGTGGTAGACTTTTACAAGAGCTTGCCCAAGGGTGAATCTACGCACAAGACTGGAGGTGTCAAGGGAGCCTTTTTTGCGGGAAAGAATGCTAGTGGGAAACCGATCGTCGCTTGGATCGGTGCAATGATTTTGCTCGGTTACACTATCTCGGTCAGTCTTGCACGCCCTCCTCCACTGATCGAACAGCGCTTATGCGCATTGGAAGTAAATGCCGACTCACTCGGCTGCAATTCTTTTAATTCTTCCTTCGACCGTAGTACCAAACCCACCTCAAGCACCACAAGAACTCTGACCACTAAACGGTGGATGCAGAGGCGTGTGAGGTGAGCAAAAGACCGTTTGTTGGAATTGCAGGTGGCAGGCAGGTGAATGGTGCGAAGGAGGGGCAAGCCCACAGAGTGTTCATCTCAAAGGACAAGAGGATTTGCAAAGTGGCAGGTAGCTATTGTCGATGTGATAGCGTCCCATTGGCCTTCGCGTGCAGTAAAAAAAGTAGCAGGGCGAGCATTGTAGGATGGAAGACTGTGCCTCTGGAGTCTTGACACGTCGACCGCCCCACGCAAAATCGATTTCAGTCGATTAGGCTGGAGGATGGTCTAACAGCAAGCTGACACTTCGCATCATCTTTCACTACGCCTGACGTGGCAGAACACGTGCAGCATTTGCTTCAACAGGCGTAAAAGCGGGTCATGACGAATATAAGGGCACATCTGAAGGGTCCTTCTCCGTCTTTTCGATCCTCAAAACGTCAAGACGGTTGAGCGCTACAACGCATAGCTGTCGACGTGTCTCACCAATCCGATAAATTTCGTACATCGTGTGCCAGCATTGTGGATAAGAGGCTTCGACTAGGATGCGCAGTGTGTCACTCTTCCTTGATCATTAAACTTCAAGTCTTTTTGCGTTGGACAAAGATGAAGCCGCAGATGCTATCACTTTTGGCAAGGCTCAGTACAAGACTTTTCGAAGCATCATGCGGTGAGAGCCTTGATGATGGCCGCTTCGCACTCGGAAGTGGTAGCCACACCGCGCAGATCAGGCGTGAGAGCTTTGCCCTCGCGAATGACGTCGTCGACGGCCTTGTAGATGCGAAGCGCGGGGTCAGGGTAGCCCTTTTTTCGAAGAGCAGTCGCAGAAAGAAAAGTTCAGCGTGACAAATCGTTTGGCTTGGGATGTGAAAGGCGTGAAAGAGGCTCACCATGTATTCGAGCAACAGGGCGGCTGACCGGATCGATGCGATGGGGTTCGCCTTGTTCTGGCCTGCAATGTCTGGCGCAGAGCCGTGCACAGGCTCGCCCTGTAACGATCAGCATCGGCCAAAATTAGCATTCTAGGCACTTGGCTCGAGATCGCGCCATGTTCATGACTCACCATGAAGAAGCTGTCACCAGCATTGACGCTAGAGACAACGCCGAGCGAACCTACGAGAGCAGCAGCTCCGTCGCTGATAATGTCGCCGTACAGGTTGGGCGCGACCACAACGTCGAAGACGTGAGGCTCTCTGAATAGTCGGTACACCATGCTGTCTACTAGCTGCTCGTCGAGCGCTATACCGGCATATCGACCTGCACCTCCGGCAGAGATGGCATCCTTCTCGAAGACGCTCCTCACAGAGGTGCGGAAGATTCCGTCTGTCACCGACAGGACATTCGACTACAGCAGAGAGCAGATGCAAAGCGCGGCGCAATATGAGAGATTTGGGCGAATGAGTCTTGAGGCTATGGGGGCCACTGCGAATCGACATCGGAGACTCACCTTGTGGCATACAGTCACTTTAGCAGGCTGGACCTGATTCACAGCATTTCCTTGTCCGGCTTTTTCACGCAGCTGTTGACGAGCGAGCGCAACTTCGAAAGCTTTGCGTCCAATCCTCGTCGAGGCTTTCTCGGTGATCTGTCGGATGGCCCTTGCAACCTGACCCTGAGGACCTTCCTCCAGAGTCTCCGATTTGATGTACTGCGTGGACCGGCACAGCAAATATCAGCTCTTGCAACTCAAGCACGGAGCTCGACGAACATGCCACACCCTTCCAGACGGCATCGCGGGTTCTCGGCCTAGAAACGCATGCGCGCGCAGTTCGACGTTCTTCAGTCAGAGTGGCGCGCAGGGGAAACTCACCAGGCACTCTGTGTTCTCACGAACAATCACGGTGTCCACCCATTTGTCTTCATCCTTGGTTCCTCTTACACCCACAACGGGTCTGATGTTAGCATACAAGTCCAGCTCTTTTCTCAGCTTGACGATGGGACTAGAGTAGCCCTCCACTTTGTGACTAGGACTAGAAACGCTTCCAAACATGGCGCCATCGCACTCCTCCTTGAGGATCCTTACAGTTTCTTCGGGCAAAGCCGAGCCAGTCTTTTGAAAATGCTCGAAACCGGCAGCGAGAGGAATGAATTGGAATTGCGGAGCTCCGGGAGTGGCTTGAAGAACTCGTTGAGCTGCTGGCAACACTTCTCGTCCGATGCCGTCCGCTGGCATCATGCCGAGCTTCAACACTCGGTTGGCACCCCGCGCGATGGATGCTGCCGTGTTGGTCATCTTGAATGCTTTGTCTTTTGTTGAGAAGTGACAAAGCAGGCAGTGTGGATGAATGAATACGAAGATCAAAGTCAAGTCCGGCTTCAGCTGGCAAAGCTGATCAGATATCGCAGTCTGAGTGGATTGATGTGCAATCAAGAATCACGCATCACGAACGGAGCAAGTTGCCTGCCCGCACCCTGCTGATGCCTTCTTCTTCTTGCATGCACCGCACGCCCACACGTGCAGCTCCACCACCAAATCGCTCCCCGCGACTGCCCGGGGGGGCTCAGTCAAGAGTTTTTGAGTTGGATGTCTGCTGGGGAAAAAGATGGGAGGAAGCGCTTATCACGTGAGCAGGTTCCAAGGAAACTCCACCGCGCTCACACCGCGCTAAGCGTTCTGGTTCTTCTGGCTTTCATTTGGAACTGCTATCATGTCCACCTCCATGAGCTGGCTTGGCGAGGCTTACTTCACCCACTACCACCTCATTCGATCAATCTTGATTGGTACAGTCTCTTCGTGACCCGATAATCCCAAGGGTCTGGGCTCAAGTCGACCGGCTACCACGTGACACCGTAGCCGACGGCAGTGTATAAATAGAAGTGGATGAGCTTGCTGCGATCAAGCACACGAGGCACCTCAACCATCAGTCTTCATCTGTCGTGCGCCCTACTGGCCCGTCGATCGCTGCATCGCTTCCCCTTGACAGCGGTCACAAATTTCAGCTTCCCCCGCAGTCACCGCCACGACCCGACTGTTCGTGCGAGGATGTCTTCGACAGCACCCACGCTCGCGGACGCATTAGGTCCAGCACACAACATCGACCTGACTCTGGACCGCATTCAACAGCTGCTTGGACGGCTAGGCTCACCGCAGAATGCGATTCCCGTCATTCATGTTGCGGGTACGAATAGTAAAGGCTCTACCACCGCCTATCTAGATTCCTTGCTTCTAAATGCGATAGGTCTGAGGACCGGTAGATTCAACAGTCCGCACTTGATACAGGAACAGGATTGCTGTAGAGTGTGCGGCAAGGTTGTCAGGGACGATGTGTGGCAAGAAGCAAAGAAAAGAGTGCAAGCTGCGGATGAAGGACTGCCGATGCGCGCATCCCACAAAGAGGAACCGACGTCGTTTATGGAAGAGCAACCTCCACTGCGCTGCACATCTTTTGAAAAGCTGACGGCCCAAGCTCTCAGCGCTTTCGCTTTGCTGCCCGAGGCCGAGAGACCAGAAGTGCTGCTCATAGAAGTGGGCTTGGGTGGAAGACTAGACGCTACAAACGTCTTTCCTGCCCAGAACGTCCTGGCCAGCGTCATCTGTCCCATCGATTTGGACCATCAGGCATTCCTCGGAAACACGCTGAGGGATATTGCGAAAGAGAAGGCTGGCATCATCAAGAGCAGAGGCTTGGTTGTAGTTGCAGATCAAAGGAGAGCTTCCGTGAATGACAGTGCCGCGTCATCCTCCTCTTCCTCCCTTCAGTACAATACCGAAGTGCCGCTCGACTCGTTACGACATGTTCAAGCAGAGCGAAGTCAGATCGGCGTCGAAGCTGCAGAGATTCTGGATTCTGTCCGAGAAGTAGCATTCATGGCTGGAGCGCGTCTTGTCAAGTCTTATGTCCCTTGGCAAGCTCTACAGGCTACAAGCTTCTCGCAGTCCAGCTCGAGCAGTCCATGGTCGACGAGCACCTGGGTCAATGCTCGCTACGCGCCCATTCTGTGGCCCTCGTCGAGCACCTCTGCAAGCTATGCCGGCACATACGCCTCTAGAGCTGGTGACACGCTCATCTCTGGTCCCTCGCTGCACCTTCCTCGAACTCGACCAGCCCTCGTCTCCATCTTGACAGCTCTACAGACATTGTGGGCCGTTGCGAGGGACGAGACGCCATCGGGATTGGGACAAGATGGATCGGATCCTTTCGAGGAGCTGAGGTTGAAGATGGCTTGGGCGCTCAGGGATGATCGGGATGCGACCGATGCTATTCGGTGGGCTTTGAATGGAACAAAATGGCATGGACGTTGCGAATGGGTGGACATTGAGCTGCCCACGACGGTACCGGATGTGCCAGCTGAACTTGGAAAGGCAGACGAACAGACCCGAGAGGATGGCGAGGCAATGCCGGTGGACACTCCCCCACAGACTGGCTCCACCTCGAGCGCAGTCCCGCTTCATCTTCTGGTGGACGGCGCGCATAACCCTTCGGCAGCTCATGCTCTTCGCGCATACATCGACCAATGCATCCTATCGCGCGTCGCATCTCTTCGTGGAGACAAGCCGACCTCGGAGATTCACCTAGCAATCAACTGGATCCTTTCCATTTCAGAGGGCAAGGACGTATCGGGTCTTCTTGGTTGTCTTTTCGACGATGGCCGATTGCGAGGAGCCGAGGATGCATTGTCTCGGTTGCTCGCGGACACCCACATCACCACGTCTGGCGCTGATTTCAGCTCCGCCTCGGACAGTGCCGTCACCTTCAGGGTGAAACATCGGATAGCGGTGACTTCCTTCAGCACGCCAGTAGAAGGCATGCCATGGGTCCGACCACTCTCTGCTCGAGATCTTTCTAGTGCCGTTCATTCCACGCTGTCCTCTAGCGAGGGCGCCGAGATCGAATCCTTCGCAACGGTGCAAGAAGCCTTCACCTGGATCTCGCAAGAAGGAGATGGAAAGACGTTCGTCGAGCTCAACAAGGATGAGTCGCAAGAAATGAGCAGATGCAAGGCTTCATTCAACATCCTCGCGGGTAGCTTGTACCTCGTTTCCGACCTGTACAGGGCATTCCCTCACTTGCTGGCTGACGGAAGCTCGTGATTCATGTCGCTCAAGCACTGCAATCATGATCTTGTCGCTGCCGAACCTTTCAACATGATGCGTGGTCAAAGTGATGGCAGACAGACAAGGCGCCCGCACGCAGTGACGCAATTTCGTTTCGCCTTGCAAAGGGCCAAGCGATACATCCCTCGCCGACCGCACTACGAGAGATACCGGGAACGCATGTATTCATCATTCTGCAACGGAGAGCTTGATGAATGGCGTAGCATGAAGGTGCTTGATTGGTGGTCTTTTGGGTTGTGGTACACAATGAGAAGACTGACTGATGGGTTGGCGTTCGAGGATTCGCCTGGGTAAATCAAGGCAGATGACAGCTTGGTGTGGTGAGTATCGCAGGCCACCACTCACGTGTGACAGCGGTTCAAACGACCTATTGCAACCTCCTCACCTCACTCACCTTGGGAAACTCCATCTCTGGACATATCTAGTCGCTGCCCACCCTGGTGTACACCAATTGACCACGGTGATGAATGACCTTCTTGATTTGACCCTCGCGAACCAAGTGTTGGATGGCAACGCGAGCCAATGATCCGTTGATCTTCATTCGGTCAATCAATGTGGACTGACTGATCATCTTGAAAGTGGGAACCTCTTTGAGGATCTTGTCGTAAGTGGGCCTGTCGAGCACGACCATGTTTTGTGCCTAGCAGATCAGACAAAGGTACCCGGGGGTGAGTCTCTCTGAGGCTGTTTGTGACCGCAATGTAAAATCTCCGCATCATACCCAAGCAATGGCAATGCCAACTCACCTTGTCCTTGACCTTTCCCTTGGACCACTTCTTCTTCTTGGCAGTCTTGGTCGCCGCAGCGAGAATTGCCGACTTCTTGGGCGGCATCTGAAGATGATTTTGGAATGATGACGGGATGAGCGGCTGAAGCAGTAGCGAGACTGAAGAGACAGCGAGACCGAAGGCTTCCGTAATCGTGTGCTTGCAGGCGGTGCGCCCGGAATGGACCCACCCGCTCTCATGCAAGCGCCATGTAGCATGATGGACATGTTCGCGCGGAGCAATGCCGACCCTGCTGGGAAGGCCCACTGGATCTGGGAATCCAAAACGGCCTGCCGATGACGATTGAACAAGCTCGCGGAGTCCTTTTTCAGTCCAGCGTGTTTGCCATTCGCCCCCGTATTCTTGTTCCTGCCCATCGTGCCAACCATCGTATGCTAAGCGGCCAGCCCCTCTCCTGCAAATCCTACCGTTCCCTCGGTCCAGCACTTCCACCTTGTCTTCCTTGCCAGCAACGCCAAAGATTACTCACCTTGGGCAATCTTGAGGATACGTGAATCGATAAAGAGTGCTGATGGTCAAGAAGATCGGTTGGAGAAACGTATGCTGGCATAGAGCCTGACGAATGCCCCGCAGCGGCGCGCAAGCAGCAATTTGCCGCCGCGCGAGAATTTGCGTGGCAGGCGAGATTGAGCCACGTGGCAAAATCTCATGCATAGAGATCAAAAGTCATGCAGCAGCAGGCACCAGACGAGCGAGCCACGCGCTGGCACTCTACTCACACTGACTGACTGCTGTGTTCGCCTCGACCCGGCCGGGCTTGCACGGGACGTGCGCATGCATGGAAGCAGCGTCCGTCGCTGGTGCTACTGTAGTGCTGAGGCGTAGGCGCGCGTGCGTGTGTCTGATGTCTACTGTACAGCATATAGCACACCGCACGACTTGCGCGTGAGCGAGAAGGTTGCGAGGCGAGGAGTTTGCGGGAAGCATGCTGAGGGCAAGCAAGATGATCAGCAGCAGCAGGCATGCAGCTGCATCAGCTAGCAAGCAGCCAGCCCAGCCGGTGAAGCTGGCTGGCCGGCTGATGCTTGATCGCATCGCATAGCGAGCGACTCGTGACGACTTCTGAACACTGTGACTGCTCGAACCACATTTCAAGTTCCACCACTCTGACAACCGACACACATCACTGCCCAACATGTCAGCTGCTGCACCAAACTGGAGTCGTATCTCCTCGGCGTGAGTTGGGAGGAGGGGTTTCTGTGAAGGAGGGACGCTGGCTGGACCAGGCGCGTGACTGGCGCGCGACTAGTGGGGGTGTCCAGGTTGGAAGGCGCGCAGAGCGGCCTTCGACAAAAAGGTCGCTTTCCATCCAACCGTACGATCCGTGCTGACACCTACCTGCCTCTTCACTGTGGCTGCTACCGCAAAGCCTGGGCCTGGGAAAGAACACCACCGCTTCTTTGCAATCTTTTAGAAAGAGAAGCGAGGATGCTCGTAGGGCCTTGACGGCCCTTCAGGCTCAAAGCACCGATGTCGACATTGCTCACTATAAGAGCACTCTCAAGGTGCGCATACCATTGTGTCTCTCGATGAGAGAAGGATCGCCAGCAGGGTGGGATTAGTATGGGCATCACAGGAGCGGGCGTGCAGGAGTTTGAGGGTCCAGAAGAGGTTTGGGATAGATCTATCACAGACGTGGGGGGGGGGGGGGGGAAT